CGAAATGTGAGGCTCGAATGCGGCTCGAACCTTAAAACGACGTCGTTTTAAGGTTCAAATTTTTATTTTTTTTTCTTCTTTTTAATTTATGAAAAATGTTTGAGGGCCCGAAATGTGAGGCTCGAACCTTAAAACGACGTCATTTTAAGGTTCAAAATTTTTTTCTTCTTCTTTTTCTTCCTCTTTTTTCTTTTCTTCTTCTTCTTCTTCTTCTTCGTTTTGAACCTGAGAAGCAGAGGCGAGAGAGAGAAATAGAGGGGAGAGGCGGGAGCTCGTCGTCGCTCGTCGGCCGATCGTCACAGCTCGTCGGTCGTCGGTCGTCTGCCGATCGTCGGTCGTCTGCCGATCGTCGCCTCTGCCTCCGCCCCCCTCCGCCTCTGCCTCTGCTTCCGCCCGCCTCCGCCTCCCTCCGCCTCCGCCTCCAGCCCTATTTTTAGGGCCCCCTCCAGTTCTGCTTCTCCTTCTCTTCTTCCTCCTTGTCCTCTTCTTCTTCCTCCTTCTTCTCAAATTCGAGCCAAATTTGGCTCGAAACCCTTTCGGGCTCTGTAACAGAGCTCTAAAGAGAGACTAGTGTGCATGTCCTAATAGGTAGGCTTACGTCCCGTTTATTTTCAGAGATAGAATAGAGGAGATTAATAATAAGGGGATTAATAGTGAGAGGATTAAGTAAAGTTGTGTTTGTTTTGATGATAGTTGTTAGTGTAGGAATTGTTAAATTATTTTTATATAAATAATAAAAATAATAAAAATATATAAAAAATTAAATATTAATATTTTAAAAAAAATTCCCAATATATAAAAAATAAAAAAAAATAAAAAAATTTCTAATCCCTTCACTATTTTTCTAATACCATCTCTATCTCATCCATCCCAATCCCCATTCCAAGGCCTTTACTAATACCAAGGGATTAGGAGTCCCCTCGCCATCTCTCAAAACAAACACCCCATATAGTAGTCTCACCTCACTATCAATCCCAATCCCCTCCCTATAACCCAAAACAAACGGGGCCTTATTGTCTTATAGGTCTTGTAATAATTAACAACATTTTTCATCAAATGCTATTAAAAAATATGACTAATTAATTGTTAGTTTTCAGTGGCAGTTTAAAAAATATGTCACAAAAAATGACACTAATTATAAGTTTTAGCGATAGTTTAAAAAAATCATCACTAATTTAACCTTTTAGTGGCAGTTTAAAAAATTTGTCACAGAAGAATTTTGGCAACAATTTATAAAAATTGTGGCTAAAAAAAAATAAAAAAAAAACCATTCGTTAATTTTTAGCGACATATGTAAAAAATCGTAATAAAAATTATTTTTAACAACGATTTTACTAGAATTAACTAGCATTTATGAATGAGAATTAAAACCAACTATTTGGACCCATTAAAAAAAGGAAACTTACGTATAATTTCTAATAGGTGAACTTATTATTTAATAGGTCATGTGATAATTAACAGGGATTTTCATCAAACACTATTGAAAAGATGCTACTAATTGTAAATTTTCAACGACAATTTAAAAATTTTAGTACAAAAAGTCACTAATTATAAGTTTTAGCGATGATTTAAAAAAATCGTCACAGAAAAGCGTCATTAATTTTTAGTTTTCATCAACAGTTTGAAAATTTTGTTATAAAAAATGTCATTAATTGTAATTTTTAATAACAATTTATAAAAATCAGACAAAAAATATACGAATTGTCAATTTTTAAAGACATATGTAAAAAATTGTTACAAAAAATCATTTTAGCGATGATTTTACTAGGATTAACTTTCAGCGACGAATTGATAAGATTTAATGAGAATTGAGTCTAACTATCAAGACCTATTGATAATTTACTCTTAAAATAAAGGAAATTCTAATTTACATCTCTTTTGAATAGTGTGTACCATATGCATTATTTTAGTTAGGTCCAGCTTGTCTCCAATTAGAAATCAAGACTGGATCGTTCAGTCCGGCCTGTAGGCCCATATTTGGGTCCCTTGAACATAAGTAGATGAAAAGGGTATTTTGGTCTTCTTATCTCAAATTGGACCTAATGGAATAGTCAAAAATAATATGGGTTGGATGGAATAAAACTCTTAGAAAATGGATTTATCAAAAAAACTCCCTATTATTTATCTAGAATTGTAAATTAAGATTTATTTAATTTATTACCGGTTTGAAAATTGGGCGTTACAGGTTGATGGAAAGCTTCAGTGGTTCCGATGAAAATGATCCATATGTCTCCAGCGAGAATATGACTCATATTGCTAAGAAAGCCACCGCTATTAAGGCCAAGTTTGGGAAGACTAAAAAAGTGTACTTTTTGTCTTTTTGGACTAAAAAATTGAGGTTGAAAATATGGATGTTTGGGTCAATTTTTTGACTTTTTATTGAAATTGACATGTTAACATGCACATTGATAGGAGTGTAAAATTAGAACGCGGCCCTAGGAGCAATTTGAATTGGGAGTTGTGCAGCCGTAATTGTTGACTTTTGGTGAATAGTGTTAACTTTTTAGCTTTTTGAGTAACTTTTTGGCTTTTTGGCTTTTTTGGATCTTCCCAAACTTGGCCTAAAAATCGAGTCATCCAACCCAAGTTCTCCTATCATCGACTCTCTCTCTCTCTCCCTTATAATTCACCTGTTAAAAAAGAGAGACTAGTGTATGTCCTAATAGGTAAACTTACGCTCCGTTTATTTTCAGAGGTAGAATAGAGGGGATTAATAGTGAGGGGATTAATAGTGAGAGGATTAAGTAATGTTGTGTTTGTTTTGATGATAGTTGTTAGTGTAGGAATTGTTAAATTATTTTTATATAAAATAATAAAAAAAATAAAAAAATATAAAAAATTAAACATTAATATTTTAAAAAAAATTCCCAATATATAAAAAACAAAAAAAATAAAAAAATTCTAATTCTCTAACTATTTTTCTAATACCATCTCCACCCCCTCCATCTCAATCCCCCTCCCAACCTCCATCTATATCACATCCTCCATCCTAATCCCCTCTCCAACTCTACAAACAAACACAACACTAAATAATCCCAGCTCCATCCTAATCCCCTCCCATCTATTTAACCCCAAAACAAACGGGGCCTTAGATCCATTATATGAATTTGTTTTATGCTTTTCATTGGATTTCATGGTCAGAAAGTTTTTTCCTCTGCTCTTTTGTTTTTTTTTTATATTATATTATCTTATGATTGCTTCCTTTTGTTTACAGTCAATGGATCAAGATAGTTTTTTTATTTTTTATTTGTTAATGGGAATCACTTACCAAATATGTATAAAACCTGCTTTGTGGGAGTATTAATCCCCTCACTATCAATCCCCTTCATTCTATCTCTGAAAACAAACGACCCTCACTAACAATCCCCTCACTATTAATCCCCTCACTATCAATCCCCTCCATTTCATCTCTGGAAACAAACGGGGCCCAAGGCCTTTACTAATACCAAGGGATTAGGAGTCCCCTTCCCATCTCTCAAAACAAACACCCCGTATAGTAGTCCCACCTCACTATCAATCCCAATTCTGTTCCTATAACCCCAAACAAACGGGGCCTTATTGTCTTATAGGTCTTGTAATAATTAACAACATTTTTCATCAAATGCTATTAAAAAACATGACTAATTAATTGTTAGTTTTCAGTGGCAGTTTAAAAAATATGTTACAAAAAATGACACTAATTATAAGTTTTAGCGATAGTTTAAAATAATCATCACTAATTTAACCTTTTAGTGGCAGTTTAAAAAATTTGTCACAGAAGAATTTTGGCAACAATTTATAAAAATTGTGACTAAAAAAAAAAAAAACATACGTCAATTTTTAGCGACATATGTAAAAAATCGTAATAAAAATTATTTTTAACAACGATTTTACTAGAATTAACTAGCATTTATGAATGAGAATTAAAACCAACTATTTGGACCCATTAAAAAAAGGAAACTTACGTATAATTTCTAATAGGTGAACTTATTATTTAATAGGTCATGTGATAATTAACAGGGATTTTCATCAAACACTATTGAAAAGATGCTACTAATTGTAAATTTTCAACGACAATTTAAAAATTTTAGTACAAAAAGTCACTAATTATAAGTTTTAGCGATGATTTAAAAAAATCGTCACAGAAAAGCGTCATTAATTTTTAGCTTTCATGAACAGTTTGAAAATTTTGTTATAAAAAATGTCATTAATTGTAATTTTTAATAACAATTTATAAAAATCGGACAAAAAATATACGAATTGTCAATTTTTAACGACATATGTAAAAAATTGTTACAAAAAATCATTTTAGCGATGATTTTACTAGGATTAACTTTCAGCGACGAATTAATAAGATTTAATGAGAATTGAGTCTAACTATCAAGACCTATTGATAATTTACTCTTAAAATAAAGGAAATTCTAATTTACATCTCCTTTGAATAGTGTGTACCATATGCATTATTTTAGTTAGGTCCAGCTTATCTCCAATTAGAAATCAATACTGGATCGTTCAGTCCGGCCTGTAGGCCCATATTTGGGTCCCTTTTCAATAATTCGAACTGTTCAATATGTAGAACTCGTCGAGTACCATATTTTTGTAAAAAATCACATGGATCGGATATCAATAGTTATTTGATCAGATCAAATTTCTGTTAACCGTTCATTTTTTTTATTATACAAAATTGATCTGATCAAATAGTTATCGATATTCGATGAACGTGATTGTTTTCAATGATATAACACTTGACGAGTTCTACACATTGAAGGGTTCAAATTATCGAAACATAACCAAAAAATGGGCTCACATGCTAGACTGAACGGTCCAATTTTGATATCTAACAATTAGACAAGTTGAACCATTTATTTAAACTTCATGTTATGTTACGTCATTTTTTTTTAATTATGACATTATTTTAATTATATATAACATTGTGGTTAGTTATAAAAAATTTTTTAAAGTTATAATTCAAAAAATTAAAATCATAGCATATTTTTTTTTTTTTAAGCGATAATGTATATACAGTGTTTCCAATCCTTCCATATACCTTCTTCTCTATCTATTGTGTCCCTTTGATGAGAGTGAGTCGTGAAAAAAATGAACCCAAAAACCGACAAGGTTGTGAGAAGGACTACTATGGTAGCCACTGTCACTGCTTCTTATTTCCTTCTCACTGCTGACTATGGTCCTGAACCCAATGTCCTCGATCCTGTAAGTATATATATATATAGAACTCTCTTTTGAAGTAGGCTTTTGATTTAGGGTTATTTTTTGTATTGCTTGCTGTTGATGAAGCTCTATAGATGAATCTGAGTACTGGGTTTTTACTCTTTTGTTCACTTCTGTTGAATTTTTCATTTTCTGAAGCTTTGATGTTAGGGCTTTTATTAGTATTGCTTGCTGTTGATGAAATTTTGTATATGAATCTGAGTTCTTGGTTGACTCTTTTGTTACTTCTGTTGAATTTGTCTTTTTCTGAGGTTTTGATGTTAGGGTTTATTATTATCAGTATTGCTGTAGATGAATCTGAGTACTGGGTTTTACTCTTTTGTCACTACTGTTGAAATTTTCATTTTATGAGGTTTTGATGTTAGGGTTTTCATTTAGTATTGCTGTTGATGAAATTTTGTTGGGTTTACTCATTTGTTACTTCTGTTGAACTTCTCATTGTATTGCTTTTGGTGAAGTTCTGTGGATGAGTATTGGGTTTAATCTTTTGTCACATCTGTTGAAATTTTCATTTTCTGAGGCTTTGATGTTAGGGTTTGTTAGTATTCTGTTGATGCAATTTTGTAGATGAGTACTTTTTTATCACTTTACTGAACTTGTTTTTTTTTTTCTCTCCTTCCTCTGTATAACTATGCATATATGAATAATTTATTGAACTTCAATATTTTTTGGGCATGAATTTTCCATAATCTCTTCCACATTGTTGGTGACATTATGTTAGCAGTAAGACATGTTACTGTGTTGTGTTGGCAAGGGGGGGTGTGGTTTGAGAAATATCATATTTCTAGTAAATATCATATTTTATACTAGAAAACTTAAAATAATTTAAATTATAAGAGTTTGCACCCTCAAACATACTTTCGCACCTCCATAGTGATAATTGTGGATCTGTCCTGTGTTGGCATGGAAATAAGATTGAGAAAATATAGAGAACATAAGTAGAACGCCATCATAGGAGAGTCACAAAGTCTATATCATTGGTTCATCACAAATTTACTTTAATTTCTTGGCTTGCCAAAGAAATCTTCATTGAAATCAGGGCAACTTCTGATTTTCTTTGTTTTCCCTTGGACTCAAGTGTAAATTGAATTTGTATAATCATCATCTACAGCATTAGTTCATATAAAGGCAATTGTTGAAAATGCTGCTGTATTTAAATCAATTAACCCAGAAAACATCCCTAGCCTGTTGGTATTTCGTGGCCAAAATGCTACAGTACTTCTGAAGCCTTTTGGTGCACTGCCAGTTGGGGGATATTTGTTCGATTAATTGCTACAAGCGTGGGGCTGCATTTCAAGTTTTGGGTGAATGAATAGTTTCAGAGAAGATTCATTTGTGTGGCTTCTGGAAGATGCTTCCCAATATCTACTTCACTGCGTCATGTGTTGTCTATAAAATAGGAAATGGTGCTGACTTTGGTTGGTTTTCTTATGTTTAGTTGATTAGATTCTTGGCAAAATCTTGCCTTTTTAATGTCCAAAACTAGAAATTGGACTCACCATCTAATTGATTTTGTGAATAATTAACTTTACCAATATTAGCTTGTTTTGATAAGCTCTGACCAGTGGACCTGTGTATCTTTATTCAAATGAGTGTAGAACCATTCTGATTGTGAAGAACCTGATTGAAATTAAATGGGAACCATGTGAGGATGGCTCCCAACAATGTTGACATACCAAAATTGTATTGGGATCTTTGGAAACTTTTTACATGAAAGGGCACTTACCAATCAGTCCTATTAACTAGATTTATTTACCTGCAGGTTTTGGCTGATGAATTTATCACTGTAAATTTATTCATAAAAACAAGAGAGACTGATATCAATAGGACTTAATAAGTAATAAGCTTCAAAAGTAGAACCTATTGGTAATTTACCTTGAAGGGAAATAGTATTTTGATGTCTTCAAAATCTATGTAGTTTTACTTTGGCCTTGGCCCTCTCTTTGTTGAATTTCTATGTTTGCCACTGCATTAAACATAATCTAATTTGAGCTCAAGTTTTTAGGAGCTAATCAACATGTTAGATTGTTGGTAGGAAATGATTTTCACTCTTGCCTGTTGCCTTTTTTTATTGTTGAAAAAAAAATAAAAAAATTGATGAGAAAAGAATAAAGCCAATAACTGGGTGATTATAGTGTGGGTCTCGCATAGGCGTCATGACAGGGAGACAAGACCACTTATATGATCAAACACAAATGCACTAATGATGGTTCCTTGTGTTGCCAATTTGCCACACAAATTGACACTAACGTGAGACAGGAGACAAGAAGTTGAATGTTACAGAAAAAATTGATATGAACGTTTTGGACGACAGAGAATGAACTCATGCAGTTCATGGCTTATGGCATTAAATGTCAATTGCTCTGCATTCTTTGCTAATGATTTGAGGGAATTTGTGAAAAAATTTCTTTCTATTGTTGAGTAGGATAACTTTGTTACTTGTTGACATGATGTTGAGATGGTTTGATTGTCACCCCACTGTATTTCAATGACAATTGTTGGCAGATTAAGAAGGCAATACAATCAGCAGAACGGTCTGTGAAAGAGTTCATCTTTGGACCAGAAAAATGATTTCCAAGAAAGTGAGAGGCAACGGAGCATTCGTGGATTATCAGATGACTAATTTTGTGTAGCAGAGCGTGGTTTTCTAGGAGGTTTTTTTTTCCTAAGCTGAATTTGGGAAGGTTGTAATGCATAACGGTAGTTTGAACCCAGAATTGTTACTCCTCTTTTGGAAAATTTTTGAATATACAGAAGGTCTGCTCTCTTCGTGTGAATTTAGAAGTCGAATGAATATGTAGTGAAACAAATTATATGAATTACTTGTACATGGTTGGCTGCTTAAATATGTTCTGTGTGTTCCTCTGAATTCTATTTAGCCCAGTATGTAAATTTGTCTGGACGAAAGTATGACAAATGGGATTAAGGTAAACAATGGCTTCTGATATTGAAGATTAGATGAGTTTTATTGTGAAAGTAATTTTAGTATGTTTGGTTTTAGTTTTTTGGATTTAGTTTTTTGAAAATTGAGTTTTTTGGTTTTCGTATTCTTTTGTTTTTAGTGAATATTTTTTAAATTTTAAATATTTTTTTTTACTTTTTTAGATGCATCTTAGTTAGATGTATCTAAAAAGTAAAAAAAATTGTAAAAAAATATTTTAAAAAATTAATAAATACATAGAAATATAAAAAATATATTGAATTTTTGTTTTTTTTTTTGTATTTTTGGTATTTAGTGAATTTTTAAAAGATTTTTTTTTTTATTTTTTAGGTGTATTTATATTAGGTGTGTCTAAAAAGTAAAAAAAAATGTTTAAAATATTAAAAAAATTCAGTAAAAATAAAAAAACACGAAAAATAAAAAAATAAAATTTTCTGAAAAGTGTTTTTTGAAAAATGAAAAGAAGCAAGCTTGTGATTGGTGCGCAAGTCTTGCTAAGGTCTTCTTGTTTGTTTCAGTGCTCATTTTTCTTATGGAATTAGGTTATGTTTGAATTATGGATTTAGATAGAGATTTGAAAAGAAAAAAAGAAAAAATGTGGGTGAAATGTAAATGAAACATGGTTATATTTCACATATTTTCTTTCTTTTTTTTAAAATCTCTTTCTAAATTTATAATTTGCTTTCAGCCATTTGCTGTTAATTTTTGAAAATTGATATACATAGAACACATTTTTTAATCATTTTTGTTATTTATTTTATTTTATGACCACTAGACATAAATATACTAGGGTCCACATTAATTAATAGGCCGAGGGTACGTTTATATTTATATTTATAAATTTTTTAAAAATTGTAAATAAAAATTTGTTTGGTGTTGGTTTTTATTTTCCAAATATTGTAAATAGTTTACAAGATTTATTGAATTTTTGTGACTACAAAAAAGTGGGCTTTATTTGTTAATTATTTATGTATTTATTTTTATCTTTCTTCAATCCATTTCAACCACTATTCATTGATCATCACAACGACGTTATCGTTGCTAACCGCTAGAAACTTATCTTTTGTTATCATTGTCAACCGTCAATAATAACTACTTTTGATCATCATCTCTTGCCATAAATTATTTTCAGATACCATCTCATGTAGTTGGCTAGCTAACCGCCACCACTTTTGTCCACTGCCAATCACATTTTACCAGTAGCAATTGCTTTTGGTGTCTAACAATCACTTTTGTCACCATTTTTAACAGTTAACAATTACATATTACATGTCATTCCTTTTATTGATTTTCAAAACAAAATTTTAAAATACATGTATACTATATAAATTTTTTATTTTCATTTTCACAAAAAATAAATACGAACATATTTAATATTTTTTATACACTGAAAAACAATAAATTACTAAGGAAAATGCGTTGGAGTTACTGAGATCCTCTCTGATTGGAGGAAAAAAATTATTTTATTTTTTATTTTTTTTTGTTATTGTTTTCGGCCAATGGAGAGCCGATAGGAGTTATCAGTGTGGGGGTCGGCTCACTGGGGTCGGTAGCACTATTACTACAAACCTTGTCAAGGGGCACCTTATTTTTTGGTTTAAAAATTGATTTCCAAAACACGAATTTTGTGTGTACTGAGATGAAATCGTGCGTGGCAATAGAAGACCTCTCGTCATCACTTCGAATTTTCAAAATTTGAAACCCTAACCCCCTTCTCTCTCTCTCTTTCTCTCTCTCCACCTGATCTCAACATACCCACAAACACATTCTCTCTCCACCTGATCTTCACATACCCACAAACACATTCACAGATTCAAGGCCCAAAAAATGCTGAACCAAATCCAAACCCTAAGCTCCGAAGTGGGTCACAACAACGAGAACGAGAACGAGAACGAGATCGAAGAAGAAGAAGAAGTTGAGAAGTTAGAAGCAGAAGTGAAAGGAATGGGTGAGAAGATAGTGGAGTACAGGAATTCAGTACCTGATCAGCTCAAGAACGCTCTCGCTTCCACTCTTGTTGCTCAGAGACCCCTCCTTCCTACACATCTCCATCACGAATCTTTGCCCCAACAATCCTCTGGTAAACCCACCCATTCTACATTTTCAAATCTCTTTCTTTATAGATTATTCTAACTGGTCTTAATTTGGGGTTTTTTTTTTTGTTCCATCTGATTGGAGTACAAATTTGGTTAAAAGCTTGATATAATATGGAACACTCCAACCCTTTACACTCTCTTTTTTCATTAAAATATGTTTGAAAAAAAAAAAATCAAAATTTACCCTAAGAAAATTGTTTAGCCATTTTTTGATGAAAGAAAACTCTCTCCAATCTGTACTTCGTTTTAAAAAAAAAAAAATCATTGAATTTGATTGAGTGGATGTTGAAAATTTGGTGAAAGATTTGGTTTATCTTGATTTGCTGAAAGAATTGGGTCTCCCTTGAATTGATGCAAATTTGATGAAATAAACAATTTTAGCCATTTTTTTCATCAAATTTGAATTTGATGAAAAAATTGATGAGGGATTGGATATGCTCTTGCTATTTTTAAAATTTTATCAAATTTGAGTAAAAATATTTGGTGAATGTTTAGGTTCTCTCTATCCCGAATTGATTCTATTTTGATGAAATGGTCATTTTTTCATCAAATTTGAATTTGATGGTGGATTGGAGATGCTCTAATGGGTCTTGATTCTGATATATCTTTTTTTTTTCTGAATTTTTTAAATGTATATAAAAATTTGGTAATGCTAGGCCTTGGTTATGGTTCAAATAATGCCAAAAAAAAGTTAGAAGTTGAATACAATTTCACATATTTTGATACATTTTTATATATTTCTACGTGCTTCTCACATATTTCACTATTTTTATTTTTATTTTTAATAATGCATATACAAAGGGTATTTTGTATTTTACCTAGAAATTTACTATAAAGCTGAACAAACTTCATAAATTAGCAAATTAACACATTGTGTAACTGAAAAATGACAGCACAAGAACAAACCTTACCATGTTCAACACTTCCTACCAATCTTGGAGTTGATGTGGGTACACCATCTGCTGTGTCGCCCGCTGAGCCTCTAAAAAGAAGAAGCGGAAGGTTGCAAGCATTGGCATCGTCCCCCGCTTCATCTAATCCTCTGACTACAACCTCAACCCAGAAGCGGGGTAGAGGACGAGGGAACAAGCGAAAGCAACAATTAGCTTCTCTTGGTAAGTATTGTTGTATAGTGATATTACTTTTTGTATGAAATTAAGATTAATCATCATGAATCCGCGGCTTGCATATGATTTCAGTTAGTTTAGGAAACAGTTTAGCAGAAATGTTTTGTATAGTAAATTCTCTGTCAATTCCACTTTTTTAATCTTATTTCTGGTTGGTCCTTATTTATCATAATAATTTTTTTTAAATCTGGCGGGCTAATGGGTGGGTTGTTTGGGCCGCCTCTCATGGGCTAACAGTTGCATTATAAAAGTTTAAGCATGCCAAAAGCATTGATGAGCTCTCTAAAAACGCATCTCTCACTGAGGGAAACAAGGGCGGATTGAAGGAAAATTTATAGAAGTATCCTTGAGCTTAAGAATTTCCCTAAAAAAGAAGGGAAATTCTATGATACACCCCCCTTTTGGGGTGTGTACTATATGCCCTGGTTACGATGTTTGTGGTTCTTAGTTATGTCTTATTGTGGTGTTGGTTATGACTTAGTTATATACATTATGGTGTTAGTTATAACTTAAAACTCATTATTATGTTAGTTAGGACATTATTTTGGTTATAATCTAAAATATTTTTGGTTATGCCTTATGTGATGTTTAACTATGACTGAAAAAGATTTGACATTTGTCGTACTCAACCCCACAAATGTCATAACTTACATAGCATTACCCAAAAAAGAAATATCATGCTAATTTACTAAGTGAGGTGGCTATGTAGAAAGGTTTTTGAGAATGAAGCACGCACACAATTTCCTAATTCGAGTTTTATTTGGATAAATAATCTTGATGTAGGTGTGGACATGGTCCATGCATGCTTTTTTTAACTTAGCTGCAAAGCCTGCATTGCATCATGGCTTGTCGTGCACAAGCCAATCTAGCTTGGATCATTAATGCTGTGTTTGGTTGGAAGATTTGAGGAGGGATTTGGAAAGGGAAAGGGAAAAGTTAGGTGAAATGTAAATAAAATATACCTACATTTCACCTAGTTTTACACACTTTTTCCATTTCCCTTTCCAAATACCTCCCCAAATCCCCCAACCAAACACAGCATAAGAGTCCTCGTATACAAAGTTTCCATTTTGTACGTAGCTATGTAGTCAATGTCTGAGTAATGTGCCCATTCTAGACACTAATAATATTATACACTTTACCCAAGGCTTGTTGCTTTAAAATGTGCTTTGACATTACTAGTAAGGGATGTAAGCTCTGACATTCATAGCTAGTAACTTTCTCTAACCATGCGCGATGTGGGATCCTTTTCTGAGTTGGTATTGTAGTTTGGTTATCCTTTTCTAAATTGGATTCAAGAAAGAAGATGCCACTATAAAGCTTAGAATGAATGGAAGGTTTAAAAAATATGATGTTTGCCTAAATTTAGGACAATTTGCATCAACATTGTGTCAAAAGAATAGTAGTAGTGTTTTTAAAAGGGTTTTTTAACCATAGTACTATTACTATATTTGTAACTTATACAATGTTAGGTTCCATTAATATTCTAGTAACCTATTAAGGCCTCATTTGGAAAGTGGTTATTTTTTAGACTTTTTGGCTATTTGACTATTTTAGTAGGTTATTTTAGTTTTTGTGTTTGAGAGATGGTTGAATTTTTTGTTTGATTGTTGTATTGGAAAATATGTTTGAAATGATGTTGGGATGAGAAATAACCAAATTATCCCTAAAAAGTTGTTGCTTACGTGCTGATGTGATGTGTTGGGATAGCAAATGACCAAATTGCTCCTGTGTGTTGGAATGCTGAGTTGGTGTGTTAGTCAAAAATTAAAAGGGTAAAATTGTAATTTCACCCTCTGTCCTGCACAGCCATGACCCATGTGCCAAACCTCAGCTACAGGAAAGCTTTTTGGCTATTTGTTTTAATGAGGCTAAAATAGCCTCATACGTCACTTCCCAAACACCACCTAAGTATGATCGCATACAAAATGACCAAAAAAGCCATTTATCTTATGGCACTGATAATGTTATCGAAACTGTAAGTACGTTGTTCGAAATCTTCGGAGAATAGAATCCTCATAATCACGATCGTATTCTGTCTTTGCCTGTCAACAAACTTTGCTCTTATTACTCTTTTATTTCAAAAAAAAAAAAAAGTGATCTTTAAGTATTCTATTCCATGTTATATTCTAATGTGGATAGTCAGAATCTTTCATTTAATTGGCCAACCTAGATGTGTTATCTCTGTACATTGAAAATTGATGAACTTGATATTTTTGTCATCTGTTTTTGGGCTTTTTAACAGTTTTTTTTTTTTTTTAATTTTATTTGAACAGAAAGTTACACATGTATATAATAGTGTGAATTATTGTAATTGTGAATTTGTGGTAAATGTGAAATTCACACTTTCAATGAATAAACAGTTGAAAACTCAACCAAACATATCCAACTAATAGTTTTTGGAAATGGTCTTTGCATTGTAGCATCGAGTACAAGATTTTGGTTATTCTTGCCATTCTTATAAGGCTGTGTTTGGATTATAACTTTGGATAGAGATTTGGAAAAGGAAAGAGAAAATGTAGGTGAATGTGAATGAAATATAGTTATATTTCACCTACTTTTTCCTTTTCCAAATTTTTATCCAAATCCATGATCCAAACACAACGCCTAAAGCAGTTTTTTTTACAATAGTAGTGGCTGCACTCTGCTATCTGCGATGAAAGTTGATTTATGAGTTTGAGGTGGTGATGGTGGTTGCGGTTGCATTAAAAAAAAAAAGCAAAAAATCCCTTCTTAGAAACCATAAAACTAACTAGTTTTTTTTCTTTTCTTAATTTGTTTTTCAGATACACTGTCAAATACAAGATTTTGGATATTTTTGCTTCTATTTTAAAGCAAGGGGAAAAAAATCCAAAGATACAAAATAATGATGTCTTTTGTTTTGTCCATTTTGTTGTTTCAAGTGGAATAAACTTAATCTAACTGTTCTAACATATGGATTCATGGTAATTTCTTTCAAGACTTTAGATAGCTTGGTTACATTGTTTTGAGTATGTTACATCACTCACGTGTGCAAGGGATTGACCATTTTTGTATATCATAAAGATGCAGGAGAACCGATTGAATCAGATAAGGGGCACCAACTATCAGAAGAACAAGATCGAGAGACTGCTGAGAAAACACAATTGCTTAAACAAAAGATTTCTAGCAATGTATCGGCTTTGCCTCTTCTTTTGAAAAGAATGAAAGAATGTATTTCCAAAATCGACAATCTACAATCGAGTAATGAATTCAACATCCATCCTGCTTTTAAAAGGAAAAGAACTAGCTGACACTTTCGCTTGAATTTTGTTGTGCAATTATTTTGACACAAAGAAGGGTCTTTTTATTTATTTATTTGTTGAGTTTTACAGTCTCTAGGGTTTGCCATAGTGGATCTGAGCCGAGCATCTTCACCATGTTGTAATTACTTGAAAACGATTTGTTTAGATGTGTAACATAATTTCTTGTTGATAGTATTTCTGATGGCATGTTGTTATGTTATATGCATTGCGTGATGAAATGTAAATGCCTTTGCTTTTGAGATTGTTTTCGTTGGGCTAATTTTCTTATTTGCTTCTTGCTTCGGTCTGTTTCATTAGTAGGATTACGATTAAATTAGATTAACAATTTATGCTAAAATTAGTTATTTAGTTGGATTAGTGGAATAAATAATCACTTCTTATTCAAGTTTATTTTGTATTATTAATTGTAGGATTAAAAAAATACCAATTTATTTATTTATGCTGTGTTTGGTTGGGAGATTTGAGAAGAGATTTGAAAATGGAAATGAAAAAGGTAGGTGAAATGTGAATAAAACATACTTATATTTCACTTAGTTTCACACACATTTTCTCTTTCTCTTTTCAAATCTCTCTTTAAATCCCCCAACTAAACACAGCGTTATAGAGTATTTATCAGAATCTAATTTGGATCATAAAAATTGTAACCAAACGCAGAAATTTGAGGCTCATAGATTATTTCTTCCAATCATAGGTTATAATTTTTCCAATCATGTCATTTTTAATCTTCCTAGTTTTAGTGAACAATTCAGTTTTTAAGAAATATTAATAGATTGTTTTCAAAAATTATTTTTCGCACAAATGTTGAATGATAGTTGTTTTTAAACTTTCCATTGTTTTGTTTTATGAAAACAGGAGGAAAAATAAATAAATAAACAAAACATAACAAAAAATTGAAAATGAAAACAAATGCATAATATGACAAGATTGTCTTTTTTATTTCACAATCATGTTTGTGTTCAACAATTTAAGTTCACAAGTCTTCGTCAATTGCTCAAAACTCAAAAGTTTGAACTTCTTTAGTTTTGGTGGGTTTGAACTTCTTTCAACTCTTGGGACAAGGGTGCATATATATATATATATATATATGTAATTTTCATACGAAAAAAAAAATTAGATCTTAAATTTGTAAAATAAAAAGGAAAGAAAAATGAGAAATGGAAAAAACTAAATTAATAATTCATTCACTTTTTTTTTTTTTCTTCTCCTCTTACAAATGTAAGTGTAATTTTTTTTTTTTTTAAACAGAAGAAAAACCTATCTCCCAATTGATGCACAAACCACTTTTCTGCCAGCGTTTTGGACAAAGCACAAGCAACATGATTGTCTGAATCTTGAAATTTCAAAAACAAGGAAAATGAAAATAAATTTTAACTTCTTTCACTTTATTTGGATCTTGAATTTGTCAAAAAGACGAGAAAAAAAATAGTAATTCCATTTCTCTCTTCCCCTTCTGCTTTCAATTTTTTTGGTTTCACAAATTCAAAATCCAAACACAACCTAAGCAAATAACTGACAAAAAAACCCAAATAAACTCTGCTGGACCCCCTGTAAAAGAGTTCTCAAATCTAATTATTCAAAGAAAGGTGTTCCTTTTAACTCTCACAATCAAATAAAGTAAACTAATCGACCAATTATTACCTTAAACAATGTGACAGTAATCACAATTAGGTCAACTGTGTTTTTGCAACTTAAAATTCAGCACAAATGTCATGGCATCTAAACTCTACTTATTTGAATGATTAGATTTGCAAATACAAACTGCTATAATTTATTGAGCATAATAATGAGTAAAAATGAAGAACCAGGGTAGAAAAAGGTTTGCCCCAATAGTATGATAATCATCGCCGTATATAAGCATTAAAGCTTTGATGGGAGAGCAGAATTGGGCGGTTTCACCTGCCTTATTAAGCCCTCTTGAATCAATGATGCAACAAGCTGGACATTAACAAGCATAAAACAAGCTCAGAGTCACATGGATGAAGAAAGTGCAAAAACGAACATGTAGTAAGGAGTTATTTTATAATGTAGTCAGTTTTCTATTATCTGTATACATAAAACAGGAAACTAATTTTTCTTTTTCTTCTTTTTTGTAAAAATTAAAAAAAAAAAAATGTTTGGGGTACACAATAACTCTGAAAACAAACATAAAGAAACATGTTTAGTGAGTATTTGGAGGTGGTGGACAGTGGTGGAGGGTGGGTGGATGTATGTGGTGGCCAACGGTGGGGGTGGCCGGAGTGTCACTAAAGGTCACAGGTGGTGACCGTCTGATCTTTGGAGCACAACAAAGAGTCATTGGAGGGTGGCTGGAACTTTCCAGAGTGTCGCTGGCCAATAGCCGCTGCCAGCGGGTGCCGGGGGGGGGGGGGGGGGGGGGGGTAAAAACATATTTTTTTCATTTCCAAAAAATTTTAAAAATTTTAGAATCAATTCTATTTTTTTGAAAACAAGATTCCATTTTCAGTTTCTAAAAAAAATTGAAAACGAAAACAAAAAATAAACAGAAATTGGAAACTTTACCAAACAAGGTGCTAATGTATCGGTATCTTGTGAAGTTGTGATCTACTTACCTCTCCTTTCCGGTTAAACATTTGGCCAGAACAAAAGCCACGTGCATTATACGCAGCAGGACTTGTAATCTGTAAACGAACGTGATTAATACTAGACAAAAAAATTCACAAACCCATGAACCTGGAAGAAAAATAAATAAATATACACTTGATGCACTAGGACAATAAAATAGAATGCTTTTCGGTACCAACCACAAACAACACCCAGTCATCGGCTCTAAGTGGCCTGTGAAACCACATCCTGTAAAAGTAAAATGAAAAAAACTAGAAGTTGTTAATGAGGTGGGTCAATTCCATAATTGTCAACTTCTATTTTTTAAATTTTCACCTTTGTCATAGGGAAATACAAGCGCATTCAAGTTGAATTCAGGCAAAACATTTTTATTGAACGTGACCATACAATCAAGGAAGCAAATACCCGACATAAATCGTTCATTTAAAAGTTTACAAAAAGGAATTTTCTTGCCATAGATTTCGTGGTCGGAATTGTGCCTTCTGATTATATATCCAAATCACAGTAAACATGTCAAAGAGATTGTTGATCTTTATACATGATTATTAAAATCAGTGAGAGGTGAAGAAGTGCACGCGCGCGCACACACAAAAAAAAAGAAAAAGAAAAAGAAATCAAAGAAAGAAATAAAGAAACAAAAGAAAAAGGAAAAAAAGCCTTCTACAAACTTCCAAACAGTTAGATGGATTTATTTGAAATTAATTGCCGACTGTGGAACCCTAATTATACCAATTCACTACAAGCAATTCCACTATAGTGGTTTTCGTAAGCCAATTTATAAGCAGAGATCAAAGTTTCAACACTCGGGATCTTGAACTAAGATGCTAAAAAAGGGTATCCTGAGCAATTATAATAATTGGGGGTTAACAATTAATCACTTGATATGATACAACCAGGTGGGTAGTCGTAAGATATTTTTCCTACTAGCTAAAATGCTTTTCACAGGAAGTAAATATGTGTGTTAAATTGTAATAGTAGAATTAATGACAGAGAAAAAGGACATGTATACTTACGCATGATCTAGACTGACAGAAGTTGTTTTTAAATTCTTCTTCCGGTGAGGATTCAGACTCACAGAAAGAAATATCAGATCTGAAGTATATGCCGCTACACATCTGCAGTCAATCACATGATATATAACATAATTATCACATACAAACAAGATAAATGGACTTCTATCTAGATCATCACAGTTTTGAAAATCTTTCTGGATCTGCCATTTCTACCCTTGTAACCTTAATTTTCCCAGACCTAAGTTTTGCTAAACACCTGTTGATTTGGCAGATATAATGATAGTTTAAAGCTAGTGCTTGAAGGCCTATAATATAATCCATGAAAATGTCTCTAGAACTCCTCTACGAGAAATTCATATTGACTAATATTTGCACAAAAGTTCAAAAAGACTTACTTTAAATCCAAAATTTTTGGAGTCAAGGTAACATTGAGCTTGATTCAACAACCACTTGACATACTATGTGTCCTCAGCCATGAGGATGTGTATCCTTAAGATAATTCACACAATATAGTAAGAATAAATAAAATGCTCAACATAAGGAAGAACCATCACTTCCTGGAAGGCCATTCTAAAGAGATCGTTCTATGAAGGTGTATATATATCACAGAAACCATAGTTTGAAAGTTAAAATTAAAACACAAGCTGCTATCATGATTCACTAATGTTCATTCTGCTCAACTTCTTCCATGAAAATGTAGCTCATGAGGACTAACTACTAGAAAGAAGTTTCATACCTATGCAAAGCCTGGTCATCTGAAAGTTTTCCTTTAGCTCTAAACCAATACCTCAAACTGCAACAAAAATAATTGTGTTCCAATGATGTGCAAATGTGTGAACATATACATGTACACCTAAAAATAGCCTATATATCCAAGACGGTAGAAAAAAAGAAGTCGAAAAATGATACAAAGAACCAGGGCAAACCTTGGAGGAGATTTAGTTTGATTGGTAGCAGTACTGGGCTCACAAAATCTTATCTCTATGGGCCATGGTACAAACTTTGCAGTGGCAACCTTGTTCCGGTAAGTTCTGTTACAAACCGATTGTCAGGTTTCACTGAACTCAAGGAAAAACAACGAAGGGTATTTGTTATCTCAAAATACTGACATAGACACCACGTTTACTCAGGATAATCTTTTTTACATATCAAATTATTTGACTACACAACACAACTATAGCAAATCACATAACAAGAGGGAGGAAAAACAAAAAAATCAACAAAGAAAATAAATTTTATTCAAGATGGAGAAAGGACAAATGAAAGCTGCCAACACACACAAGCACTATCTTGTAGATAGGTTACCAATACAAAAAAATTCTTCTTCCTCTGTTTTTTTTTTTTTTTTTTTTTTTAAAAAAAAAAAAAAAAAAATTTTTTTTTTTCAGCTTTGTCTCATCGATGGAGAAGAGAATACAAAACCATTCTTCTACAACTCTAGGGGTTCAGTGGAAACTAAGGTAGGTTCCCAGAAGAAACCAATTCAATAATATTATTCCCCAATAGAGCCAACAACACTAAGCATAATTTTAAGTTCATAGAAGTTTTAAAAAAAGGAGTTCTTCAAAACTGTAGCATGCCCCAAGAGGCATCTTCATTTTGACCCACTTTCCTATGGAAAAGGCTCATAAACTTATGTAGCTATAGGTGCAGTTTTGAAGGTACTATTCAATTTTTCTAATTGTGTTCTAGACTTCCATACTGCAGCCTTCAGAAAACAAGAGATTTATCAGAAGGCATGTATTTTGCTTAATGTAATGTACACAGGAGATGAATTGACATTCTTTTGATAACACTGAGGAGTCTATTCATCAATTGAAAGGCCAGTTTATGAGTTTTCTGTTTAGTTGGGTGACAACAAGAACAGTAAATCCTTCACTAGACAATTTAATGTATTTTTTAGAGAGTTTGGATTCTTTAGTTGATGTATATAGGTCATATGACTCATACGGGCTTTCTGTTGTACCAATTCCATACACATGGGTTGTGCTCCCTTCGGACCTTTAATTGTATCATTCACTTATCCAAGATTTTGAATTTAAAAAAAAACAAACAAACAAACAAACATAAAAAACAAAACAAAGAAAGCTTATCCAAATTAATCCAAATCATATCTAACACAGACAATAGCAGATGTGTCAATGTTGGCATACATATGACGTGTCTGACAAAGGAAACTCATATGAAAGTCAGCTGGAACAAGCAGAGATCAAGTCAGTGTGTCAGATAGTAATGCTCCTATCCAATAGCTAACCTAAGCAGCCATTGTCACTGACTCACATAAACAATGTTATTAGCCTGGACTGGACACACACATACACCCCCAATATATATAAAGATATATATATATTTACAGCAGAATAAAAGAAAGGGAGAGAGATAATCATACAAAAAATTATCTGCCCCTTGGAATTACATAATATTACATATAAAGGAAAAAGTTGTACTATATTTGAAAGAATGAAAATCTTGCCTGGGAAGACGGGGATCAGTGAGACGTCTCTCTCTCACCTCTTCCATTGACAAAAGCTGCAAGAGAATTGCAGGTCAGAAACCATAGCAGCAATGGACTGGAAATTGTTGGTAACTCAAGTTAAGCATATTTCAATTACCGTTTCTGGATCAGGCACAGAGGGCATCACTGGTACCTGGTGATCAAACCCTTCTTCTTCTTTCTGTAAAATCATCTTAACCCAATGTTACAAGCATTTTGAAATTTTCAAAGCATTCATTCTGCACCTATCACTTGTGATTTCCTCCAAGAAACCAAACAGTTAAAAAAAAAATCCACAAATGAGCATCAAGTGGAGAGTTGCATCAACTAACCAACACTAACATATTTTCAAATAAATAATAAAGACTATGAAGATACTTCAGCAATGGTATTAATGGATAGATGGAAGCCCCAAGGATTAAGGCACAAAAACTATATAGAAAGCATAAGAGAAGGGCATTTTTTTTTTGATAAATAAGCATAATTTTTGATAAATAAGCATAAGAGAAGGGCATTCATTATGAGTTAAAAGAAGAAAGTTAACTGGCTCGGTTATGCCTTTGCCCTGTTATCGTCTCCAACCGAGGATTAGACCCTCTTACTTTTGTTTCACTCTGCACACAGCATCCTCTAATGCTGGTGTTTACTACTCTTCAAAATTAAGAATTCTTTGCAAAATTGGCAAGTTCTTATGGAGTTGGGGTTGCCATGCTCTTTGCCACAATCATAAAGCACAGTCCCTGTTGTCCTCTGGTTCTATAGCTTTCTTTAGTTTGTTGTCTGATATGGTTTAGACTTTGGTTTTAATTTTTTTTTTTATTTGTTTTGATGTGCTAAGGTATGCTCCTTGTTAGTTTTGTAATTGTGTTTTCTTTTGATATAAAATTTTAAGTTACGCAAACCTTCAAGCAAAAAGAACTCAACTGGAGAAATAGCACTACCAACCCATCTAGTAAACATTAGAAGCCAGGCACTCTTATGCGGACATACTAGAAGTCATCATAATTAATAAAAACCGGATCAAGAAAGGGGCATCCAAACCAAAAATGTAAGAAACAAGAAGAAAACTACAACAAATTTATTTGCAAGCAGTCTGTAACTTTTAAAAATTCAAATGAAACAAAGCAATAATTCTATTCAAGTACAAGACTTCTAACACATTCCAATCTTAAGTACTTGCAAAAAAGAAAAGAAATAAAAAGATAAGAATACAAGAGTTGCGTGTGATACATATCAAATTCCAAACACAGAATAGTGTTTCTCAAAATGTGGACTACATGCAAACAAGTAAATAACAGCATTACCTGAAATGAAGCAAGCAATGTGAATACAACATTGCCTTTTTGTATTGCATCTACCGTTCGGGTAGCAAAACTTTTTCCATCACGTACACGGTGAACTTCATATATGATTGGCACTGCAAACATAGAATTATTTATATAATTGATAATTCTGCATTTCAAGGTTGTACATGATGAAATATACAATACTGAAATGTCCTTGGTGTTAAATATTTTATATTAAATGTTTAATAACTGAAACTGAATAATATATCTAAATGTTGTGAAGATGCCCCTTTCTTTCTTATAGACGCGAAAGTGTGTAGAGTTGAAGAGTGACAAGCATATACCGTCTCAAGGAAATAACTTACTATGCAAACTTCAAGTATGAAACAATGTAAAGGGCCAAATTTTTTAAAGATCTTTGGTTGTGCAACTTGTGAAGGGTGACTTTGCAGTTTTGTTTTCCGTCAGACCAACAAACACAGCACACATAGATATGCAGTGATGCATAGACTAAGAAGCTTACACAACAACTTTCAAAACATATAAGACACGACACGTGTGTGTGTGTGTGGGGGGGTATGGGGTATTTATTATATGTCATATATAAGAATATAGAATTATTATATGCCATATATATGAATATTCCATTCAAAAAGAATTCAAAAAATGCAACACAATAATTCCCAAAATTGAAAGGAGGAAAGAGAGATTAATAGATGTAAAGCTACATTGTTTTTCTTTTATATTGCATCACAAGTTACTTTCTTTAAACTTGCCATGTGTGTCTAAGCAATGGACACGTGTGTTCTCCAAGTGTTTGAAACATGTCCGGTCTAAAAGTTTAAAAAAAAATAATAATGATAAAGTATTTGGAAGTGTCCGACACGTATCTGACAGACAAGTCACCTTCTTAAAAGTGTTCATGCTACTTAGCATATAGACATAAGTAGGATACCTGAATTTACCAAAGGCCACATACAATATGAACTTTTTTGTTCTTTTCATCAAAAGCATTCACCTCACAATCTAGAGTTCCTGATTTTTCGCACACGGCATTAGGAAAACTTGCAGGGATTCTAAGATACTTCTATAGTTTCAGAAACAATTAAAATTGTTAAAACAGAGATACTTGCTATGATGCGTTTAAGGCAATACTTGGATTGAAGAGACTTTATGGATTTGACAAGGGCATAATGGAATCAAGAAATCAAGAATTGGCTATTCTATCTCCTTGTAAACAATACTTGTTATGTGTTACAAATTAGATCGTCCATTATAAAAATAAAAATAAAAAATTAGTCAACTGATGCCTAGAATAAATTGTGATATTTGTTCTGGGGCATAATGCTTTTATCCCAATCAATACAAGGTTCCCAATTAATATACTTTTCACTCAAAATTAGGACATGATAATCCACATACATCATCAGAATAAATAAAAAACACAGCAACTGCAAAGGTAAGTAGCTGTTCACTCTGGTTAAAACACTGAAAATATACTTACGGTCAAGATCCCCAACAAGAAGGAAGTAGCAATGCAGACTATGAACTACCTTAAGACAATCAACAGTTTTCGATGCTGCAGCCAGTGCCTGCATATTATGGACCATTTAATTATGAGTGTGCGAATTTAACCAACTCAGACTGTGTGGAAAATATATTTAAAGCTAATAGCATTATCACAAAGTATGAGTAGGCAAACAAACTATTTTGGAATTACTAAGATTAACAAATGTTAGGTTGTACCTTTTCATTGCCATCTGCTGAATATGTAATTAATGGTGGCTCACGATGAAAGCACAAGAACCAGAATGAAAGAAAATAGTTGAAAGAAAGACATTGGTTACTTGAGAAACTTCAATCCAGTATGAGATATTAGTGCAAAAATAAATTGATATTAATAAATAAAAATCAGTTCCACTATGGTTGTTAGAATATTACGATTCACGATTCGATTCATATGATTTGATAAAATTCACTTTTTTAGAAAAACGATTCACGATTTGAAAATATTGAGTTTAACCGTTTCACTGAAAATAAAGATTATTCTAGAAACAACATCAATAGATATATCAGTGAACCCTACACAGTAAGACTATCAAATTCCCTTACTTGACTAAACAAGAAAATTTTCAGTCATTTTAAGATCATTGTCACATTATCAAAATGAAGCAGAACATATTACAAGGTGCACTAAATGCATTTAGTCGACGTGTATCCTCATGCATCCAAACAAACTCCAGTGACCATTTTCTCAACACATACAAACTTCAATGTATGCCATCACCTTTACAACCATTAAGATAATTTGTTTTAGAAACAAGCAAAGTGGTATACAACTAGAAAAAACATGAAGCTTAATCATACCTGCCCGATAAACTGTCCTCCAAACACCTTCCCAAAACTTGGAGCATCCGGCAAGGTAATCCCCCGGAAAATGTTCACCTTCAAAAAAATACAAATATTTTTGTGTAAACTAACATATTTATTTCCAGGACATGCCATCAAGCAAAAGATCTGAACAGAAATGACTTGTAAAGAGCTGGAAAAGACAAAAGGAAAAATATATTTGTTCTCTTGACAAATAAATTGTCCAATGGAACCAGAAAAGAAGAAAACATCATGTTCATACATCTACAAAGCAAGAAACCCTCAAGTCTCAATATAATCCACCGGGTGAACATGTCAACAAGATAATAGAAACAAAAGTCTCCCTCATAAGCCAATACTCCAAGAAACTTGCTGAAATAATTTTTGGGAACACAAGAATATCTCATTAACCCCATTTAAGCAAGAGACAAAGAGATGGAGACAGGAAAAAGGGAATATTAACAAAATCAACATCAAGGAGTCCATTATGAGAGATGAAAAAGGGGAAAGGGAACATTAACAAAAACAAAGTCAAGGAGTTCATTTTTTCTTTTTTCTTTTCAGTTCAAATTAGCAGACTCAAGACATGGCCTCATTTAAACTTACGCCACAGGTAAAAATGAGGAAAAGGAATTGATATGAGGAGAATTGATTTATGAAATCATCCAATGATTGCAACTTTTTGAGCCGCATCTGGAATAGAGAACACCTAGTGGTTCATCCACAATACTATTACCCACACTGTCCTGAGCACCTTAGTGGTTCAACCAGCATATTTCACTGTCAATTTCCCAAAAATAAATGGTAAATACAGGATAGGAAGTGAGAGGAAACGACAGATATGATATAGAAATTTGTTAAAATTCCACCAATGTATATTTACTAATTGCTTCCAACTCCTCCCTAGAAATTTGTTAAAATTCCACCAATGTATATTTACTAACCGCTTCCCACTCCTCCCTATCAGCATGAAAAGGAATGGAGAAAAAAAAAATGTTTTAGCTTAATTAGATGGCTTAAAAAAGTAAAAAATAAAAAATAAGAGTAAAGAAAAGGAATGGACAGGACAGGACAGGAAGAAAAAGTAAAGCAAAAATACAAGCAAACAATTTTAAAAGCCAAGATTCACTAGTGTAAATGAAATAACAATAAGGAGCTCAAAATCATTATGGGAATTTGCTTGGGGTTCACCAAAAAACAAACAAAAAAAATATTCTAAGCACCATCTCTGTCCAAAATGTGGGTAGCTTACTACAATAAGCACATAAATCAAAATTGAGAAAGCATCATGTCCTCCACAGTCCCCCTTGGGCCAACGTGTTAGCAACGTCATTTTAGCTTTAGATAGAACTTGAAATTTGAGTACTAATCAGTTAAAGCCAAGAGTTTCAGCAAGTAAGCATTCTAGGTAATACAATCTCATGATTAACTCAAGACGAAGGAAGGTCCACTACCAGTTCATTGTTTAGCCCTCCCGAAGTATCGAGTAGAGTCTAACTCAATCGCTGGGACAAACTACCAATGAAATATCAAAAGCATGGGCAAGGACAACAAATGCTTTGCGCACAACAACACACATTAGAAACACAGTGCAGGACACACTGCAAGGATATAGACTAAGAAAATTCCTATATTGATGTGAAGAATATGAGGATAGCTATGGTATGATACTAAAGGCACTCTAAGGATCCATGGATTACCAACATCAAGACAACGCTTTCATGCAACGAAAAAAAAGAAGAAGAAGAACACATTTACTCACTATTGCAGAATTGCTAACAGCAAACTTTAAACATGAAAATATTTGGGAAAAGAAAAATAGTGGGGTCATACATCTAAAGGGTCCAATTGCAATATATTCTCCACAGGTGAACATGTCTCAATTGTTTTATCTGCACTCCAGATTGAGTTTGGTTGTAGCAGATCACAATACTCATGGGGCAGCACTAAACAGGTCAGCTGCGATCAAACACAACACATCATGAACTTGTTAATGGCATCCACATAAAATTAGCTGGACATGTATCTAAAAATATTGGCTCTAGGCAATGGGAACTTATGATCACAAAAGAGATGTAAGTAGAAAGAAAAGTGCAGCTACCTTGGACAATGCAATCACATCAGCATTTGGAGCAGATGTAGCAGTACCTGCAAAATTGCACCTACATTATTCTTCTAAAGTGACAATTGGCATCTACAAGGAAAACCCTTCTCAAAATTTTGTACAACTTCTCAGATATTATCAATTGTATATGTACATCTATTCTATTCTATAAATCACACAACTCATAACATGTTTTGACGCTATGTCACACATTTTCTCATACCCCAATTACCCTTATGCAAATGTCCATGCTCTTTATTTCTTTGGATTATTATTATTGTTATTATTATTAGATGACAGTTACAACTGTCATTTCTACACACTCATCGCGTGTGTAGCCTTCTAGCATGCAATATGTATACATGTATATACAATAAAATTCAGGTAACAGAAATCTGAATCAAAAAGAAGAAGAACAAGTGGCATATTGACCTAGTGATCCAATGTTAATACCAATATGTGAAGTTGTAGAACTACAGCTACAACATATCAGTTACTGTAATCTCAAGTACACCGATAATAATACCAGATGTAGAATTCCCATTTCCCACAGAAAGTAACATTACTTTTAAATTCTTCGATATCAATGGAAATAACTTGAAGCAATTAACGAGAAAGGAAATAGCAAACTGAAAATGACTATCGAAAACAAAAATGCATCACGATCATAATCAGCCTCTCACCATGACCAAAATAATCATAACGATTCAACTGGAATTCAGGACGATTTTCGTCATCGGCATGGACCGAGTCGCATACTTCAGCCTGTGAATATACATATAAATACATAAATCAATCAAGTAATGATATACATAAACAGAACTTTCTTTAGAATTTCCATATAGAATAATGTGTTTTCTTGTAATCTGGTCATTTTCAATAAAAATACTCACTATAATACTCATAATTTCAAAATTTCCATGAAGGCATCATTCTGAATGTGTTTTATGTTTACAAATTATCTTCCAATTTAACTAATAAACAGCACTTTGGTACATAATTTTCATACAGAATGATGTGTCTTCTTATAATCTATTCATTTTCAACCAAAAACTCATTATTATCCTCATTATTCAGAAATTGCCATCAAGGCATCATTCTAAATGTGTTTTCTATATAAGTTTACAAATTATTTTTCAAATCAAGTAATGATCTACGAACAGAACTTTCATACAGAATGATATCTCTCCTTGTAATCCCTTCATTTTCAATCAAAAACCAATCGTTGTCCTCATAATTTCAAAATTGCCACTGATGAATGTGATTTCTGTTTTTATTGTTCATAGGCATCCAAGGCATCCTCTATAAATAGAGTGCCTTCTTTGTGTAATAGACATGTACAATTCATAGAAACAATTGTGCCTCTCTCTCTCTCTCTCTCTCTATTCGCTCATCTCTATCTTCTCTCACTTTCTCCAATTATTATTTCAATGAATGTGATTTCTGTTTACAAATCATTTTCTAAAATCAAAATTTAAAAGGCAAACTTTACCTCTCCATCCCAAATGAAGTAAACTCCATCCCCAACCTCGCCTTCACGAACAACATAGTCCCCGCGATCTTCAACACAATCCATTAAAAAAAAATTAATTAATAAAAAACAAAAAACAAAAGCGATTTCAAACACGATTGAATCCGAGTAAGAGAATTGAAATCACCGTAGTGTTTAACAGTGACGACTTCGGCGATTTTCCGGAGAGACAAGCTCGGGAGTCTCTGTAGAAGAGGAACGCAACCTAAAAACTCGATCACTGCAAATCATCAGAAAAAAGAGAGAGAGAAGTGAGAGATCGCAAGTGAAGAGGTTCATAAGTGCTTGAAATTAGGGTTTTCATTTGCGGTTTTACCTTCGTCTGTGTTCATAATTGGAGTTCTTGGAGGAACCACTCGCAAAGTAAAATGTTAAGAAGGAAAGACTAAACTATACTACCTGTATATATATAGGTGTAAGTCAGATTTCATGAAAGTCACATTACATGAGGGCTCTATTTATATCATGAACAATGATTGAGACTACCATGATTGAGACCCCAATTTTGACCCCAATTTTGGGATCATAACTTTCAAAGCCTCCGTTTAGGAAGTGGGTTGGTTTTTTAATTTTTTTTGACTTTTTTAATTATTTGAGTCTGAGTTCAAAAGTTTAAATTAGGAAGGGTTTTTTAAATTTTTAATTTTTTTGACTTTTTTTGTGAGAGAAGAGTGTAATGATTATGAGTTAGATGTAATATTTTGTCTGTTGTGGCTCAAATAGTCTATTCTGTCTTTTGTGGCTCAAAGAGCCAAAAGAGCCCAAATAAGCTTTTCCCAAACGACACCTCACATTAAAAAATAAAATAATATATGAATGATTCAAATTAATTTAGAATTATGGGTCTTAAAATTAGAGTCTCAATCATAGAAAAATATTATAAGTCAAATTTTTTACTAAATAAATAATAACATATTTTATATTGGTGTAAAATTCATAAAAAGTGTGGATCCCATACTTAAGTTAGAGATTTTGTCAATTATTTAATAAAAAATTTGATATTACTAACATTATTTTATTTTTATTTTTTTGTTATATTATAACAGTCTAAGAGCATTTTCAATGATTGTTGATATAATACCATTGCTATTGCTATAATTTGACAATAAATAGTGTTATTTTGTCAAATTATAGCAATAGTGCTCTAATGGTCACTTGTTATTTTGGTAATTCTTAACCAACTTTCCCTCTAAGTTTACAGGTGTTGTTTGGATATAGGTTTTTTTGTGATTTTATTTTTGTTTATTTTTTTGTCTTTTATGACTTTTTTTTAACTATTTGTAAAAAAAAATTATATATTTATACTATTCTCGACTAGACAAATATAAAAAGTGAAAAAAAAATTAAATATAATTCAATTTGAAGAATTAAATTTGAAAAATTATTTGGTTTTCTACTGTTTCAATTCTGTTTTTTCAACTAAATTTGGAGTCACAAGTATGTTCATATTTGCTGATGTGGCATGTTTGACAATTGTTATTTTATTTGCCAAATTTAATAACAGATATGACATATGTCATCTTTAGCAAATAAAATAACAAGTCATTAGAGACTCACTTTTTATCACTATTACTAAATTATATCTTTGACAAATGTTTTGAGAACTCTATTGAATATGCTCTAACAAGGATTGATGATTCAACAAAAGGTTGGAGTGGTTAGGGAGTAACACTATAACTTTTTTTTAGTTGTCGGAGGAAAGGGTTGGTGATTTTTGTTAAATTGATATGGAACAGATTATTTTAATAATTTTAAAATTTTAATAAAAAAATATCTAAAAAAGTAAATAAAATAATGTGATAATTTATAATGAGTTTTTAATTTGTTGACTAAAATAGAAAGTTACTCAACAAGACCTAGCCTCCGTTTGGAAAGTGGGTTGACTTGTTGGCTTTTTGGGCTATTTTAGCTTGGGCTAAAAAATTTGGTTTGGGAAGATTTTTTTGCTTTTTTGACTTTTTTTGTGAGAGGAGAGTGTAATGATTATGGGTTGAATGTGATGTTTTGTTTGTTGTGGCTAAAATAGCCTATTTTCTCTTTTGTGGCTATTTTAGCCACAAACCAACTTGCCAAACAACACCCTAAAATTATAAAGAAATATCATAAGTTCTAAATTGTTTTATTACAAATGATTACAATTTTTTAAATTACAACTTGAAGTGATTTTTTATTTATTTATGACAAATGCTAATAAATGTTTCATGGGTATTATTTAGGTAAATTACAAATATGCCCTCTGAGGTTTACTTAAAGTACATATTGTCTCCTGTAATTTGAAAAATTACAAATACCCTCTTGTTAAAAAAATTTATTTAACATAATTAACTAAAAAAAGAAAATCATAATTGCTCTCCTATATAATAATAAAATTACCTAAATTATTAATTGAAACATGTTTATAACATCATTAAAAACTGTTAATTGACTTGATAATTTATTAATAAAATGGGAGATTTGTTATGAAATTAGAAACCTTAGGAGGTGGAATTTAATTTCTAAAATCACAAGGGCAATTTATATTTTAATCAAATCTCAAGAGATATTTTTATAATTTATCCCGTATTATTTAATATTGGGATGTGTGTAAAAAGCCTATTCAAAGTATGTAAAAATATTAAAAAAATTATATTGATCGTAATAAAAGTGTATTATATTTAGTGAAAAATATCTTATGTTTTTCAAACTTTTTCTCTTTTAGGAACACTTTGTTAGTAAGATTTTTTTTTTTTTTATAAGAAAATTACCAGGAAAAAAAGTTTTGCCCTTAGTTACCAAATAAATCTTAATTTTTTAATCGATGGTGTTACATGCATCAATTAGTATACTAACTAGTGTACCAACACTAATTATAACATTATTATTAATTCCACTCATTAATCACATTACAAGTTTTAAAAATCTCTTAAATTATGTCATATCATCAATTAGTATACTAGTTAGTATATCAATTGGTATATATAGCATTATTCTTTTTTAATTATTTCAATTTAAACTTTTAATTTTTTAAATGGTATTAATTTTAACCATCAATTAGTTATATATATAGGAATATGAGTAATTTAGGAAATTTAATTATTTTTTTTGTAGGTGGTGTTAAGGAATAAATGATCGAGGTAACAAGGAATGAAAGGAGCACCGGTAAACGGAGAAAATAATGGAGCAGTTGAGAAACAGAAGGAGTGATGACGGACGACATTAAAAGTAGGACATGACTATCAATGGTAATAAAAGGGGGGCCAGTGATTAAATTAATTAAACTAACCATTCTCCATTAATTATAACTAATGAATACAAACATATCGTTAAAATTAATACAATTTCAAAATTATAATTTTGTATTAAAAGTTTGTTTAGTATCTCCTAAATAAGTGTATTTATTTAGACAAGTACATTTAATTTTTTTTATCAGAAGATAAGTATATTTATTTGAATTACATTACATTTCTACTTTTTTGTATATCTTTTTATAAAAAATTAAAAAATACATTTATTTAGATCATTTTAAACAACCTTTAAATTGATCAAATATGAATATCGTAATTTGTAATTTTCTTAGCATAAGGACATTGAATATATAATTTTCAAGTAAAATTGTAAGTTAAACATACAAGTTTTATACTTGGTGATGAAATTACAAGCTTGCAATAATTAATTTTGTGATTTCAACTTTATCAGCTGAATTGTCAAGATGACGTTTTGGTCAACCCAAAGCTGATTTGGCCTTGATTTTTTAAGTAATTTCTTTTATGAGGGAATTTTTATTGCTATAATAGTTGATACACACTTTGGTCAACCCAAAGCTGATTTGGCCTTGATTTTTTTAGTAATTTCTTTTACGATGGAATTATTATTGCTCCAATAGTTGATACATTACAAGAGAAAGTTTAGTAGGCTTAGTGGATTAAAAGTTAATTTTTAAATTTTTGAGTTTTTTTTTATATATTTTTTTAAAAAGTTAAAAAAATTAAAAAATTAATTTTTTATCTATTTCTCAGAATAGGTCTAATTTTTAATATATTTTTCAAAATAGGTCTAATTTTTAATCTATTTCTCAAAATAGGTGTGAGTTCTTAACTTTATTTTTGTTGTTTCCCTTAACCTTTCTTTTAATCGAAAATAAATAAGTTTTTTTTTTTTTTGGAGGGGTTTTCCTTAACCTTTCTTTTAATCCAAAATAAATAAGTTTTTTTTTTTAGGGGGGGAGGGGGTTGTAATTAGCCAAAAATGGTTAAAGAAACATGTTGCTAGATTGTCACCTCAAAAAAGGGTGAAATATTTGATCAGATAATTTTAATCTTCTATAAGACCATCTCTAACGTTTCATCAGATTCAATATCAAATTTGAATTTGATGAAAAAAGTCACTTTTTCTGCTCCAATGGTTTTACCAAACTGATATCAAACTGAGAACGGAGTAAATTTTTCATCAAACTGAGAATCCGTGTGAACCTTCACCAATTCACTGTGCTGTAACGTTGCAAGTGGATCCACCGGTCAACCTACTAAACGTCCGGCCGGTCGACCAACCGTTCGACCGAAAATAGGTTCAATTAGTTAAAAATATGTAGGTTCAAACAGTTCAAAAAGGTAAAAAAAAAAAAATTGCCTTACTGGTCGACCAACCGGTTGACCCACGACATGACAATTCTTTTGATTCACCGTTGGAGTAATTGATATCAGATTGAGAACATGAGTCATTTTTTACTCAAGTTTAGTAAAAAAAATACTGAACCGTTGGAGATGTTCTAACGTACTAATAAAAAAAAAATTATGTCAAAAGCATACACAAATTGTGAAATTATACATTGCTTTTAAAGCAAATGCAAGCGGTGCTTTAAATAAACAATTATTGTTTCTTAATAATACAAATTATCACTTTTGTACGAATAATAATCATAATTATGTTTGGTTTGTGTTTATAAAATAATTTTGAAAATTATTTTTTTGGAAAAATTTACAAAATTTAAAAATTTATTTGGTTGTATATTTAAAAAATAATTTTGGAGTTTGGAATGTGTTTGCTTTTTTGACTTTCGAGGGTTAATAGTGAAAATTTAAACGTGCCAATAAGGATCAATCAGTCCTTATAGAGTTTTAATTGCCAACCAATTTATTAGACGATTGTGTGAGGTTCTTTCAGCCTCAATTCATTAAGCAAATGAGAACTTACAATGAAGTTACAATGACTCAGCCTCGCAGAGGTTTATAGCAACGACTGCTTGAAACTATTCTTAGGAAATGAAGTGCAGTACAGGAATTGAATTGCTAGAAATGTAAAATTGGAAAGGAATTTGAAGTAAATAAACTGATTTCTGGATCTGAGTTTGAGTCTGAGTCTTTCGTTATAAAGCCTTCTCTTTTATTTATACTTTTCAATGATAACCGTCGAAAGATCATTCCATGATCCCTGATCATGTTCTCTTACAGTTGGCATCCACTACGTCATTCTCGTAGTTAAGCTTCCCTCATGAATTTGAATTTGTGAGTAACAGTTCGGTCACATCATTTTGCACCTTCTGGCTGGTTCAATGCTGCACAGATCCATTATTACCAATATGAACTGCCACGTGTCTATGACTGATTAGAAGCTTACATTAACTCCCCAAATTACCTTTTACGTGCCACGTGTTAAGCTAGAATTGGCTTATACAAAATATGTAACTGACAGAATGATTTTTTTTTTTTTATTTGAATAGATGGATGTGAGTGAAAAATGATTGATTGATGTGTTAGATATGAAAAGAGAGAGAAGAGAGAAAAAGTGATTGATTGATATATACCTGAGAGAGAAAAAAAGTAATTTTGATTTTTTTAAAAAAATTTCAACCAAACAAATTTTTTAAAAAAATTCTAAAAAATTATCTCTCAAAACACAAACCAAACAAGCCATTTACTATGTGATAGTCTATTGCTAATATTTCATCAAAACTCATTACACAAGTGTTGTGGTAATAAATAAAATAATAAGTATAGTATAATATTTTTATATTAGAATCTTAGGGTGTGTTTGATTGAACGGACTAAATAAAGGAGAATTAGAATCTATCAGACTTGAATCCTGGGACTATGAATCTTTCGGATTATTTGGTTGGATTGGATATGTATCCCGTGTTTGTTTTTTTATGAGATTAGATGTCTGGAAATGACTATTTTTAGTGAATCTACTGTTTGGTTTGACAGACTAGATAGGATAAATGAACAAAATACTATTTTATCATTTTTCAATTGTTTACTAAGTAATAGCAATATTAAACATATCTTTAATATTTTTATTATTTTTAGCTAGATTAAATAAAAATTTATTTTATTTTATTTTTTACACAATTAAATAAATTTATTTTTAAAAAATTAAATAAATAAAATATCAATAAAAATATATGTTTTTTTAATTAAAATTTTAAATAAATTTATTTTTAAAAATAACAATAATCAAATAATGAAATTAAATAAAACATTTATTAAAATTTAAATAATGAAATTAAATAAAATATAAACAAAATTTTAAAATAAAACATCAATAAAATATCTATAAAAAATTATTAAAAAAATTAAATAAATAAAATTATTTTATTTTTAAATTGAGACATTTAAATTTGATTAAATTTTACTTAAAAAAAATACATAATTAAATAGTAGAGGGTCAAAATGGTCATTTCGTCACCTAATCTCAACAGTAAATAGTCTAATGAAAATTGTCCCACACCCTCCTTTGGAATAGTATAATCCCACATATGGGAGATAAGGAGTCCGGTCGGTCTTCATGTCCAGCGGATTAAAAAAAATATATCATACACCAGATAAAAAGTTTCCCCCAGATTACAATCCCAACAGTGGATAGCCTCCCCCTAATCCGGCAAATCAAACGCACCCTTAGTGACTAGTATAAAATGTGGCAAAGCCCTCACTTGACATGTTGGGTTGGGAGATTTTTTTATTTTTTTTATTTTTTTGATTAAAATAGTCACAAAAAAATAAAATAAGTTAAAAAGTTAAGATAAAATGTCATATTTAAACCATAATCATTTTACTTTTTTTTTCACAAAAGTCAAAAAGGTCAATCCAAAACAAGACTTTTAGCCCCAGACTAATAGTAAAAAAACTAAAAAGCCAACCCACTCGCCAAATGAAGCCAAAGTTGTAAATATGATAGAACATTGATTCAAGAATATTAAGGCTTGCTTTGGGTAGTAGAATAAAAACTATTCTTTTGGTTTTTTTGGCTTATTTAAAAAAAAAATGTAAAAAAATAAAGAGGTGTTGTGACCTAAAAGAGTCATAAAATAAAAAAATTAGCTTTTAACCCAATTGCTAACCTAGGCCTAAGGTAATGTTTGGTTTAGTTTTTAATATATGATTTGGATCAAAAAATTAAAAAAGTTTGTTTGGTTAACCAACTCTTAAAATACAATTCAAAACTCAATTTTTTTTCTCTTTCTCTCTTCTTTTATTTATTTATTTATTTATATTATTAATATCAATCAATCACTTTTCTTCTCTTCCCCCATCTTTTTCATTTTCTTCACATTCTACATATTAATCAATCAAATTTTCTCTCGCACCTATCTATTTAACTAAAATAAAAAATAAAAAAAATTACAAATCATCATAAAATTATTTTTAAAACTCATAACTAGTTAACTTTTTAATTTTTAATTTTTTTTTTCAATAATTTATCTTTCAAAATATAATTTAAAATATAAAACTTATTTCAAAAACTAAACCACACGGATTCGAATGCCATAATGCTTTTTAAAAAATAGAAAAACGTGGTAAATTAAACTGACAACGCGTGGAAGAACAATAATGCTACAGATCACTAAATTTCTACCACTAACACCACCACTAATAATGTGACAAGTAAAAAAAAAAAACAAAAACAAAAACTAAGACACAAAACACATGTGGCAGTGGGTCCCATCCCTAGTGCAACCACTAATTAGTGGTCTGCATCATTTTTCGTGGAAGAAATGATAAGAAGAAAGAGAAATGTGCAAGTTTTGCTAGTACCTTGTTTATTTGGATGGATAAAATACAATTATAATTTTTAAAATATATATATTTTTATCATTTTAGTCTTTTAAATTTTTAATTTGAAGAAATGATAAAAAAAGAAAGAGAAATGTGCAAGTTGTGCTAGTACCTTATTTATTTGGGTGGATAAAATATAATTATAGTCCTTAAAAATATTTATTTATTTTTTAGTCCCAAGTTAGTCTTGAAATATTGATCAATAAAATGAAATATAACCTTACAATATTGAGGGGCAAAATTGGCAAAATTAATATTTTGAAGACTAAAATGACACAAACTATATACTTTAGGACTATAGTTAAAATTTATAATTATTCTATTAACGATTTAAACGGCCATTAGAGATTGGATCAATTTGACTCAAATTAAAAATTTCATAGACAAAACTGATAAAATTAAAATTTTAGAACTAAAGTGACACGAAGGGCATAGTTTAAGAATCATTAGAAGATCCAAAGTATTTTATTGAGAAAAATAAAAAATAAGTAGAAAGCTCCTAATTTAAATATAATTCAATAAAAAAAATTCATGAGAAAATAATAAAATAGTTGAGTCTCGTATGTATTTATGAATGTGAGCCCTATTATTTTGTGTTTAAGGGTGAGAAAATGAGATAAGAAATAAAATTATCCATAATATTACTCAATTACTATTCAATGATTTTATTTTTTTTATATAGGAAAAAAATTTACGGCACAAGTGAAAAGACGAATTTTTTTTACAAATATATTAAGTATTTATTTTGGAGGACAAAATGCCCTTGTCGAATGCAGAGCGATAGCATATATTTCTACTTTATAGCATATCTACTATAAGGTATTTAACTGTCCTCATCAGTATTAATTTGTTCTTCTCCTAGCACTGTATCGAGAGTCTACCACAACCACTGCCATTGCTATGGCAGAAGATAAGATGACAATTTGTCCCGTACCACCCGACCTGTATCTGATAATTTCCACCACCTTCACTAAGAAAGTATTAAATGAATCAAGCAATGGATTTTACTTCTCCCACCTCTTCTTCAATACTATAAAATTAAAACACCAAAATTTTCATTTCTCATTTCTCATTTTTCATTTTTAATCTTTCTAAATTTCTCATTTTTCATTTTTCATTTTTAATCTTTCTAAATTTTATCATATTTTGCCTCCGTGTAAGAAGTGGGTTGACTTTTTGACTTTTTTAGCTATTTTAGCCTGGGCTAAAAGCTTGGTTTGGGAAAGACTTTTTGACTTTTTGACTTTTTTTGTGAGAGAAGAATGTAATGATTTTGACTTTTTTTGTGAGAGAAGAATGTAATGATTATGGGTTGGATGTGATGTTTTGTTTGTTATGGCTAAAATAACCTATTTTGTTTTTTGTGGCTAAAATAGCCAAAAAAACCCAACCAACTTCTTCCCAAACGGTGCCACAACACACCTTTCCTGTTCCTCTAAAGCTATGTTTGGTTGAGGGATTCGGGAAGGAATTTGAAAAGGGAAAAGGTGTGTAAAACCAGGTGAAGTATAGATATGTTTTATTCACATTTCACCTATCTTTTCCATTTTCCTTTCCAAATCCCCCTTCAAATCTCCCAACCAAACACAGCATAAAGAAATAACATACCTGCCCCAGCTCCCACCCAGAGGGGGTCTGTTTTTCTGCCTCAAATTGACAATGGAGCATAGACAAACCGTGTACAGCAAAGAGACTCAAATTCCGCTGCACAGAGAAATCATTTGCATATGCATCAAAGCAGCCAAAAGGGCAAACTGGTGACATATATATTATTCAAAATATCAGTTCCGACAGTAGACGCCACAGTAAAGATTATGGCTTCTAGTGTAAACTGTAAAATGATGATAAATTAGAAATTCTATCAAAATATCAATAAACCCTATTGTCGGCCAATTTTAATGAGATGTCATAATAACAAAAGCACATCAATTTACATCTATTGCAAAGCTAATAACTTCTGCAATGAAAAGGACATGAATAATAACATATAGTTGAACTGAACTATTTCATCAACTAAAACAAGAATATAAGCAAGAAAATCAGATTCCATGAAAAACAGGTTGAAGATTGGATATTAATGGAATCAATGAGAACTTGTCTTACAAAATTTCAGTACACAACCTAAACAAACACCAACTCCTAATCACTTTTGCCAACAAAACTATAAGACGAGATCTACTTTCAACCACTCACTTCTTCTTCTCACCACCTCCAGCAGACCTGAAAAAAGAAGGCCAAAAACAAATTATAAGAGCTTATTATGCATAAACCCCCAAAATTGATCAAAAGGCCCAAGTCACAACACAAACCCCCAAAACAACATATACAGAATTGGGGGTCAACTACCAATGTTTACATTGTGAATCATCAATCATTTTCATAACCAAGTCATAGTTTGTTTCGGCATCAATAAAAATGTAGAATTCCTGCTTGCATCAATTACCTCATTTTGCGGAGAACATTGGACATCTCCTCACGCTTCTTCTTGGCCCTCTTGTGAGTGCCTAACTTTCTCTTTGCCACTTTCAGTGCACGCTTATCTTTCCCGACTTTAAGAAGTTCGGTGATTCTCTTCTCATATGGAGCAAAACCAGCAACTTCCCTGATGAGGGTTCTCACAAAATGGACCCTTTTACTTGTTTTCTGAAATTTAAAAATATATTAGAACTTCACACAACGGATGGAGGATGTACTGAGTAATTCATAGAGCCAGTATGTCAATTTAATGCACACTGAAAAAGTGTTAATCAAGCAACTACAAATGCATTTTATGTAACAAAAAAGAACAAGTGAACACACATTGATACAGCATACAGAACACAAATGAAATAAACTAAGACATAAGTACAGAAAAAATTAAAAGAACACGCAATGACTAACCCCCTTTCTATCAGAAGGGCGTGGAGCCAATTCCTTCTTGGTCACAACATGTCCTTTGTTTAGACCCACAAAGAGGCCAGTGTTAGGTTGCTTTGGAGCCATCACCTGAAAGTTCCAATATTGAATATTGATCAACTCACAATATAAAACTCAATGCCTACTAATAGGGAAAATTTGTGACAATTGCCTGACTAACATCGTTACAACACAAACAAGGTAACGAGTAATATGCTACATACCAACAAATGCACACAGTATGCATGGCAACATAACAAAATTTCAGCCTTTTTGGCTATTTATATTCCAAATGAGTTCTGACACCCACATCTTACCTGGGAGATTTTATGTAGGTCCAATTACAATATATTCGTAAATTACACAATTTGATGAGCAATAAACAATAATTACTGTGTATGTTTATGAGCTATTATAATAATGCACATTTTAAGCATCTTACTAGTATGTGAAGATTCTTAATCGAATATGAAAAATTTAATAAAAAAAATTATATGAAAGGAAAAAAAAACAAATCCAAAAATAAAAATTTACGAAATTAAAAAAAATAGTGAACTTAAAAGACATCAAGCTTCCCTATACATTAAGAGCCATTAATCTGCAAGCTCGCCTCCTAATCAAGATTGTTAAAATCGGGATCCCATATAGGATCAATGAGAGGGCCTTGTGGATTGGATTGTAGGATCGGATCAAGGATCGTAAGATTTTACTTTCTATTAAAAATAAGGTAAAAATATAAATTGGGATGATCCTACACGCTCCTACCATAATATTGATCCTACAATGATTTCGATCACTTTGACAATTTAGGATCGTAGGATACGATCTGGATTGCGATTTTTATAAGCACGCTCCTAATGCACCTTTTTGAACATGCTACAAATTTTAAAAAGTTGAAACACCAAAGATTTAATTTTTCACCCATTTCCAAATAAACTAAGTTACTATGAGAATGCTGATAACAATAAACTTATCATTTTTAAAACAACACAGGAAAGAATGAAGGGGGAAAATGTGACATTGCCAAACGAGTATAATTAATGCAGTGGTTTTGTAACTGGAGTTAATGTATATGTGCCTCACTAAAGTACAATGGCTTTGTATCTGGAGCTAATTCATATGTGCCTCACTAAAGTACAGAAGAATTCACTGTTAATTGCTGTGGCATATCATGAAGTAAATCAAAGATATACAAACAACAAATCCTCCAAAACATCCGAACAGTCTCAACACCAGGTCAAATTCAAAGTTTCGATTTTTTTCTTCTCACGGAGTGGGGAAAATATCAGGGCTTCTACTCTAATAGTCTAACAATAACATTATTATTTTCTGCTTAAAACATCAAGTAATTCGGAAAACGCTAAACGTGGCTACTAGAGAGAAAGTTTTATCACTTACCAATCAGCTCCAACGACGATTTTCCGGGAAAACCCTCAATAGAAACTGCAAGAAAGAGAAAGGGAAATCAGAATTTTTGTAAAAATAGGGTTTAAAAGAGTAGATCAGTTAGGTTTTTGAGGCAACACTGACCTGAGGAGAGAGAGAGAGGCCGCAAGAAGAAAACTAGGGTTTGTGGTTTTATGCTGAATTTATATGCGACCGACGACACGTAATCAGGGAGAAGAAGCATAAAGGGATGGTAATAATAATGAAAAAAAAAATGCAAGGGTAGTTTGGGAATGTTGAATAAATAGTATGATAGGACCATATTGCCTATGAGAGAAGTTACTTTCTCCGTTTCGAAATATATAATTTATTTTTTATTGTTTTAAAATATTGATTTTTTTAAAAAAAAATTAAGTACAAAAATAATTTAATTTTTTTTTATTTTGCTTTTCTTTTAAATTCATTAACAATATAAAAAGTATAATTATGGTATTGATATTCTCAAAAAAAAAATACTATCAAAGAACAATTTTGAAAAATCAATTTTTTTTAAAGTACAATAATTTACTACTAAAAAAAGTTAAATTCTCTAAAATGAATCATTATTTTTAGGACGGAAGAAGTAATAATTTTAGATATAATTTGATGCGACTTGTGTGTGTCGATTTCTGACCATACTGTCAAACTAATACTTAGTTGGAGAGCACAGACAGAATAGATTAAACCCGAACGACGTATCAACAAAAAGAAGAGATTCCGGTAATGGTTCATCTACCCAGGGACACTCCGACGATCAAGTCAGTTATTTCTCAAATATAGTAAAAGTGTTTAACTCACTATTCAGAGCATAAAAAACATACCTTAAACCCATGGAGGTGCCTCTCTTTTGTAGCCAATACAAACCTACCAATACAACTTCAATGGATTTATGATTATTGCTAATCTTAGATTCCCAGTAGGATTAGGTTAAACTCTCTAAGAGTCCTATCTTTATCCAAATTGAAGTCTTCTCCCATTCTAGAACTCTTGTCTCTTATCTGCTTATCACGAATTCCGGTATCTTTGCAAATAACCTCGGCTTAGCCAAGATAACCTCGGCTTAGCCAAGATAATCTCGGCGTCATGACCAAGACACATGACACCTCGGCTGACACTTCGGTGATACCTCGGCCATGTGTTATCATTCCAAAATTATATTGACAAATACTTGGTGTGCATCAATTAAACATAAATACAAAAACAGAGTAGTTGAATATTGTGCAACAGACATATAAAACAAATAAGCATCAAAATAGGGATATAACTACCAAGATTTGTAATAGTGGAACCAGAACTTTGGATTAGCAACTTGAACAGCATTATGCAGCAACTATGCCTACCGTATTGTGAAGAACAGTGTAATTCCAATTTCGTCGACAAAATGTATATATATTGTGAGAAATTATGTTTGTTGCAAGAGCACATGGCATAAAAGACAAAATCCAACCATCATTGCAGTGTTTGAATTTTGATGCACCGATGTTGGAAATTTCTAAGAGGAATTACAGATCATATATATGAGTCGTATTATGTACACGGATGCCTACAAACTTGAGCCTGCAAAGCGGTGAGATTTGCTCTTCGATGTGGTGAACTTTGTTTTCTTCTGTTATTGTGTATATAGATGATTTCAACCCCATATGTCCAACCCAAAATCTACTGCTGGTATTGTGTACGAGATAGTTGAATTGGTTTCCTGGATGAAGTGTTCTTGGGAAATTTTCACCTGGAATGGAAGACTAAACTGGTGTATTTCTCGTAGAACGTTTGAAACCAAGCAGCAGAAAATGTTAGGAAAGTAAGCAGGCATGAGCGTTATACCATGGTTATATATATTTTTATATAGGTTATATATATTATAGTTTGATGCAGCTTTTTTATTTTTTATTTTATATTTTATTTATTTATTAGATATGAATAACTTAAATAAATTAAGAACTTTGATTACCGATTAGTGAAATATGAGGGTATTTGGAATGATTTAAATCAATATATTTTTAAAATTTTTAAGAAAGATGTGCAAAAAAATAAAAAAGTGATGTGACTTAAAAAAGATAAAAATATTATAAATAAATAAAAAAATGCACTTTTATAAGGGATGCCAAGTAGTGCTTTTGAGTTCTGTTTTTATTTTTTTATATAAGCTTTTTAATTTAGAATAAAGTTACGCCAAATAAGTTTTTTCACTGAAATCATATAATCGACATACGCGATGCGTGTACAATTCAAAATAATAATAATAATAATATACAAATACTGACAAAAAATAATAAACGTGCAATCAAACATATGATTTCAGTTTTGAGTTTCATCTTCCTCTTATATATAATTTTTACTTAAATACAAACTATAAGTATTTTAAAAAAATTCAAAATATGAGACATATTTGTGTCAACACTATGAAACACGATGAGGAGCTTTCATATATTATAGTAGTATAGATAAATAGATAGATATTGTTAAAAAAAAGAAAAGAAAAAGAGATCCACATATTATAATAGTATAGATAGATATTTTAACAATCTAAAAAAAGAGGAAGAAAAGGAGAACTACATTATATAATTTATATTTAAGAAGTTGAAAAAATGTTCATATAATCCAATAAAAAGATTAATTTTATTTTTTTCACTATCACTTTTGTTTCATTTTTTCTAGAACAATCACAAACATTTTATTTTATTTTTACTATGGATATACTAATAGAAATTTAGGGTTGGTTTGACATTTTTGAAAAAAGTTAAAAAGTTATCACTATCAAAAATATATATATATATATATAAAATAAATTTTCACAAAAAAAAGCACAAGCCAACTTTTTGGCTGAAGTGATGTTTTTGTCTGAAGTGGTGGTACGGACTCGTCAAGCGGGTGCACACAAAATTTGCATAGGATGGTGCTGTTTGACTCGTAAGGGCTCATCACGGATCCCATTTTGATAATCTGAACCGTGAAATACGTAGAACTCGTCGAGTATTATATGTCTGTAAAAAATCTCATTGATCGAATATCGATAACTATATGATCAAATTAGTTTTGTATAAAAAAGTGGACGGCACACAAAGTAACAGTTGACAAAAAACTAATCTAATCAGATAGTTATCGATATCCAATCAACTTGATTTTTTCAATATAGTACTCAACGAGTTCTACACATTGAACGATTTCGATTATCAAACGGGACATGTGATAGGCCCCCACGGGTCGAACAGCACTGTCCAGTCCAAACAACACCGTAAGCAATCTGGTCATGTACATCTTGCTGCCAACTGTATGCATGACGGTACCATCACTGTTAGTAAGCAATTATATATTTAGGGGTAATATGATAAATTTGCTATTTTATACAATATTTTAATATACATATTCTTTCTGTAACCTCCTACATGACCGGTTTAGCAGGTCATTTTTTATGATGTGGCACGATATGGACCATACAATAAGTGCATATCATATGCCCTTTTATAAGGTGCACATTGTAGATTTTCCCAAAACATATATATATTTTTCCTCTACTTTTTTTTATCAAAAAGTTAAAAAGTGTACTTATTTAAAATATTTCAGACAACCCCTACTGTACTATTTGAGCATTTAATAAACTAATTGGGCTGGTATTTGGGCACTCTTGTACACTTACATTGTGTTTTGTTAAAAGATTTGAGAATAGATGTGGAAAGGGAAAAGAAAAATTTAGATAAAATATAAATAAAATATACTTATATTTCATCTAATTTCATATACTTTTTTTATTTATATTTTTAAATTTCTTCCCAAATCATCCAACTAAACACAATGGTAGGCGTAGGGGGTTTATCCTTGGATTAATGATATCTTTCTCACATTGGAATCTTTATTATACTTTCCCAATCTCAAATTGTTTATTTGACATAAAAGGCGAAAATTTAAAAATAATGCATTCTCATATTGAAATTTGTAATTTTTTTTACCAATTACAAGATCTACTTTTTAAAATTATTTTTAAATTGTGACTTTAAAAAAAAAATGGCACAATAATAAATTATTTTTCATATTTCATTTTTCAAGGCCGAACGAATAATTTGAGATTAAGATAGCCAATATTCTCCCAGTGATGGACAACATTTTTTTGGGGGGGGGGTTAAATCTCAACATTCAATATGTATTCAATGGGCTAAACCTTGATCTTTAATGCTGTGTTTAGTTAGGGAATTTGAGAAAGGATTTCGAAAAGGAAATTAAAAAGGTAGGTGAAATATGAATAAAATATACTTAAATTTCACCTAGTTTCATATATTTTTTTTTTTTCCTTTCTCTTTCTAAATCCCTCTCTAAATCTTTCCACCAAACACAGCGTAAGTAGCTTATCATGGTTTACACTCTAAACATAAACATTATTACTAGATATAAAAAAATGACTATAATTGAATCTGAATTGTAAGTCGAAAACCATTTTACTTATCCAAAACATGTAAAAGGGTTTTTGCTGAAGCCACAAAAAACTTAAGAGGAAGTAAATCTAATTTACAAGGCCCATAGGCCACGGCCCATCCATCAATCCAACATAGCTATACGAAGTTTGTGGAATGGTTGGTGTAGCTTCTTGAAAGGAGAATCAATCCCAAAGAGTTTATGGATATTCTGACTTGCAGGTATACCTCCCAGTTCCTCTCCCTCTACCAGTGTGTACACTCACTTTCCCATTCCTTTCTTTCTATTTTTGTTTTTCTTCTTTAAATTCTTGCAATTAGTCTTTGTGGGTCTATTCATACATACATACATACATGTATTTTCAATTTATGTTCAGTTTGTGGGTTTATTATTGTTGATGATCACAACTGTATTCCATCTGGGTCTGTTTCCAACTTCCTCAATCTGAGTATTCCTTTGCTTCAAATCTTTTCTGTTTTTGAACTCCTGTTTTGATTGATTGATGGTGATTGAAAGTTTCAATTTTTGTTCTGTTATGTTTTGATCCAGAAGTGCTATCAATTCCCATGTATATCTGTCTATGTCCTTGCTTAAAACGTTGATTGTCCTATTCACCTCTTGTGTTTGTGATATTTCGGTTGATAATCTTCTATTAATTTCTGTCCAATTTTGAAGTTTTTCTCTACCTGAATCTTTTGGGTTCATAGTTACTTGGTGAGCGGCATAACTAATTAAAAATTCACTCATATGCAGCTTTTGAAAAACTGTTATCTTAGGGTTTTAAATATCAGATGATTTTCGATACTGATATTCACTATATATGGGCCGATACTGTCATTTCTGATACCCACTTCGAAATTTATGAGCAACTTTAAAAACCCATCATTTCTTTGGTTGATCTATACTATATTTCAAATCTTTAGTGACAGGTGATTAGGACTAAGAAAAATCTATTTCTCTTATTTTCTCTTCAAATCACCCAATCCAAACAGAGTGTTAACACCACAAAATTTCAACATTTCTGGCCGAATTCAAAAAACCCATCATCTCTTTGGTTGATCCAGTAGCAGAGAATCATTTTTTCCCCCTTCAAAATCCTCATTAACATGCTTGTTTCATAGGCATCGATGTCATTCCTTTGTGGTCTTCCCCTTCTTGAGTGTGTATACTGTTTGGGCTGTGCTCGTTGGGTATGGAAGAAATTCCTCTACACTGCAGGCAAAGAAAGTGAGAATTGGGGCCTTGCTGATGCCGGTGAATTTGAGCCCATTCCTCGAATTTGCCGGTATATTCTAGCAGTATATGAAGAAGATCTTCGAAACCCACTTTGGGCTCCCCCGGGTGGGTATGGATTGAATCCCGATTGGGTAATTTTACGGAAAAACGACAAAGAAACACAAGAGAATGTTTCTCCCTACATGATCTACCTTGATCATGATAATGCCGATATAGTTGTTGCCATTAGAGGGCTTAATGTGGCGAAAGAAAGTGATTATAAGGTCTTACTTGATAATAAATTGGGGCAGACAAAATTCAATGGCGGGTACGTTCATAATGGACTATTGAAGGCCGCTCAGTGGGTTTTGGATGCAGAATGTGAGGTTTTTAGGGAAGTAATTGAGAGGTATCCAAGCTATACTTTGACTTTTGCTGGGCATTCACTAGGGGCTGGGGTAGTAACATTGTTGACAATATTGGTGATTCAGAATCGGGAAAAATTTGGAAACATTGAGAGGAAAAGGATTAGATGCTTTGCGATTGCTCCGGCTAGGTGCATATCACTCAATCTGGCGTTGAGATATGCAGATGTCATCAATTCTGTTGTACTCCAGGTTAAGTTCATCACATATTATGAGTAGCACTTCATATATGATCAAATTATCACCATGACATGCAAGAAAGTTCTCAATTATGTACGATTTCATGTATCAATGTTTGCACCTTCTAGATTATGAACAGCAAGATAACATGTTTGTATCGATTTATATATTTCCCTGGTTAGGCATAAAGTTTTTTGAATAAATTGGGATCCATAGAAAAATAAAATGCCAAAACATCTAAAACTAAGAAAGAAAGTGTATAACCATTTCTAATGATTTCTTTTGACTTGTCTAGCTCATCTGATTTTTCATAAAATTGTTTCAGTTCAGATAACTATGTAGGCTAAAGGTCTTTTGTTTGATGCTCCTTGTATGGTCCAAGGAACAAATGTTCATTTTGTTTCCATTGCAACAGTCTGAAATATTTCTATTCCATAGTAACCTGACATAAAAAAAATGTTGGAACTGAATTTTTTGTCAGCACTGAAATATATTGAAAATCACTGAAACTCATCGAAATATTATGAATCAATGAGTTGTTTCGGCATGTACTAGAAATATCCAACAAAAGATATTTCTATTTCACAGATTTTGTTCAAAGAAAAGATATGAGAATAAAGAAAAATTTTAAATTTATTAGAGAATCTGATAAAGTGTAAAGAATAATACAAGAGATAGATAGATGAATAGAAAATGAACATGGTTAAATCATTATTTTTATTTTATTTTATTGTTATTGTAGATAAATTTTATTTATTTAAATACTATCATTGTTACTTTTTTTCTCCCATACCTTCTACTACTAGATCTATCCTTTCTGATTTTTTATTAACCCTTTAAATCTTTTGTTTATGAGCTTCTAACATTTACTGACCTTTATTGAACCTTATGCTTAATCTTTTTTCGATATAGGACCTCCCACAATTTGAATGCCCTTTGGCTTTTGTTTGCCATTATTATTATTATTATTATTATTATTGATATTTTGTAAATGAATCATAAAATAGTTTTTGAAAAACAGTTATATTTGGTCTAACCTTTTGTATAACTTTCATGAAATATATTAACAATGTATCCATCATTTTACTGACTTATTTTCCTTATTACTTTCTTCCTATCATTTTTTAATTTTCCACTTACAGTGTTGCGATATCATTTTATATTCTTTCTGCTTTGGCATGAATGTGCTTATGTTCTGATATTTGTCATTTCGATGAATCAGGATGATTTCTTACCTCGAACGACCATGGCTTTGGAAGTTGTTTACAAGTCATTTTTCTGGTAAAGATTGTAGGTCTTGGTCACCTTTATTTGTAGTTTCGGATGCATTCAGCGATCCATTGATATTTATACTGTAAAAATTTTCCTTCCCAATTATTAAACCCTCTATTTTTTGTATTAGATTTACTGAAATGGATTGCTTCCTTGCAAAGCAGGGACTGGAAAAACTTTAATGGCTGAAATGTTTTATAACATCATATTTCAGATGTCTTTCAAATAATAGTTTGATGGTGAAAACAAATTGTTTGCGATTTTCACTTTAACAGAATAGTTTTCTGTCAACCCTTTGTTTGGTTTCATTTTCAAATCTGTTTTTTTATTTTTAATAAAAAAACTAAAAACTAGTTTAGTGAAAATTTGAAAAAATGAAGAACACTCGCTGTTCTCATAAATTTTTCTCTTTTTTGGGGGTGAAAATATCTTTTTGGTATTTCTTTTTGTAAAACTAATTTCTATTTTTTTTAAAATAATAAATTAGAAAATAGATTTTGAAAACCAAACCAAACAGAGATTTCCCTTCTATTTTTAGGGATCAAACGTGACGATGTGTTTGCATGAAGTTTTTGGAAACACATTCTGCCTTGAATCCTGCTTCCAACATCGCCAAAAATCCATCCCTTAAATTTCTTTTAACAACTTATTTTAAAGCAACAAATTTGAAGCCCCAATATCCAGGTTGTAGTGAGTGCTTTTGCGTTTGTGTGTTGGGTTATATTTCACAATTGAATGGGAACTTTGAAAGCATTTGCACCACAAGTATGTGATCAAGACACTGATGAAGCTGTTTTTGCCTTTGCTTGAACAGCTTGCCGTGCATATTGTGCTTGATGTGCGTGAAGGACACATGTACGCTAGAGGATAAGATGCTTAAAGATCCTAGGAGGCTCTATGCACCTGGTCGTCTCTATCACATCATTGTGCGGAAGCCCTTCAGGTATAGTCAGATTTCAAGTTTCAAGCAAAATTTGAAGAACCGAGGTTGGTTGCATAACTGAGGTTTTTTGGGTGCCAAACCATATGAGATGGTTTGAAAATATAGGAAAAGGCTTCAAGCGTAGGAACTCAGGGGGAAGAGTGAGAGGATTATGCTGAGGTCCGTTTGTGGGGAGCAAGTGGACCCCGGTTTGTGGGGAGTAAGTGGACCCCATTTTGTTATTTTGACACTGCACAGTCTGTGAATGGAACCATATGGGACTCCAGGAGCTGTAGATAACAGATCTTGTAAAATACCTGGTTCACATTGATACAAATTCAACACTAGGTTATTCCCCATGTACCTGTTACTGAATAGATTACTACAGGAAGCATGTTCGAGTACTACCACAGCTGTAGTTTTGTAATTTTTTTTTCCTTCTAATTTTAAGGGCATAACTGCTACTTGTTTAGGTGATGGATTTCTTATATTTTCACTTAATGTTTGCAGGATTGGAAAAGCCCCCCCAATTGTGAGGACTGCAGTACCTGTGGATGGGAGGTTTGAGCACATAGTCCTGTCTTGCAACTTGATTTCTGACCATAGCATCATTTGGATAGAGAGAGAATCTCAAAATGCTCTTGATGTAAGTTTTCAATTCCTCTTGGTTAGCAATAGCGTAAGGTACCTGTTAAGAGCAACATTTCTATGTTTGGTTGAAGGAAGGAAATTAGGAGAAGACTGAAATGTAGCTGTAGGGAATGAATTATGGGTTTCCTTCTTCTTGTCAAAGTAGAAGAGAGAGGGAAATAGGAAGGGAATGGGTATTATGTCGTTATAGGATTATAATTTTTGTTTGGTACATCAGAGGCCGTAGCCTTAGGGAGGTTTGAGTCTTGCCCTCCTAGTGAGGGGCAAGGGTTCTAGGTAGGGCTGCAAATGAATTAATTATTAGTCTCGTTTAGTAAATGAGACGAGCTCGAGCTGGCGTCAGCTCGGCTCGTTTATCTTTATTTAAATTATATAATAAATATATTTTTTATATATTAAATAATATATAAATACATTATTTATATATTAAATAATATAAATAATATTTTTTATTTAAATATTTATATTTAAATAATATAAATAATATTTAAAAAAAATTATCGAGCTGAGCTCGAGTTTCATTAAAATTAACGAGTCGAGTCGAGCTCGAGCCCAGTTCCTTATCGAGCCGAGCTCGAGCTCAATGAACGAGCTCGATAAGTAAACGAGCCAAGCTCGAGCTCAGCAAAGCTCGGCTCGGCTCGGCTCGGTTCGTTTGTAGCCCTAGTTCTAGGCAACTGGGCTAGCCCTAGCCGGCTAGGATTATACCCTCATTTTATAAAACATAAACCAACTTTTGGCAGACAAGATTACAATTTTGGTTTATAGAAAGGTATATGAACTTCTATTTGATGCTGCCAGGCATATTGACTTTTCTAGGAAACTATCATTTTTGTTCTGAACATTAGCATGTAACAAGCAAATATAACTAATTGGTGTTGAAGAAATTCTTAGGGTAAATTACACTGATTACTTAAAGTAATCGAAACTTACTAAAAGGGAGGTTAAAAGTAAACTTACTTTAACTTTCCTCTTGTAACCTTACTTAACGTAATCGAAACTAATGCAAATGGTTTGTAGACATAGGGATAAGCAAAGATAAAATATGCATTTTACTATAAAAAGATGAAAATATCATTAATTTGTTCATACAACTTCCGAATTATTGATGAAAAGGGGAGTACGTGTTATGTGAATCAAAAACATAAGGGAGCTCAATATAATTATGCCAAACTCGTAGGGCTCGATGTATTGTCTCCAAACTTCAAGGGAGGAGGTTAGTGTAATTTACCCAATTCTTGAATCTGCCCCTTCGACAGATCAATCTATTATGATGAGGGATTCCAGAATCATGTGTTGCTTTATTTTCAAGACAGAAAAATAAATAGACTCTAGTGACAATCTGGGTGTGGTTCTTGAAATGCATGTTTTTTGGTTAAAGCTCGAGATGCTCAAGTTGAAAGTTATGGAATTTTTTTTTTTTTTTGGGGGTCTTATTTTGGTTGGCGGTGACTTTGCATTTTTTTGGGGTCTGATTCTGAGTTATGGACAATTCACCTTTCATTTCAACTTGATAGCTATTTATTTTTCAAGCGACATTTAGATCGTGAGGTAAGAAAAGAAAAGACTTGATTGTTGTTTCTCATATTCTTGTTTGGATGAAAAATGATTAGAAGAGGATAAATGCGTCTTTTTTATTTTATTTGCTTTGTAATTAGAGGGGTAGTTTAGGTATTATAATTTATTATTATTATTTTTTTTTTTGTAAAGAGTCATTTTGGTTTCTCACAAAATCTCACCACTTCTGGTAAGAAACAAAACTTGAGTTTTAAGAGATTATCGTTCTCACCATTCATCACTTCAATAATCATCTAATCAAGTGATAAGAAATCTCATTTTCTCCATTTCTTTTTTTTTTTCTCACCAAACCGCCCAATCCAAACAGATGGATGAACAAGATTATATTCTATTCCGGTTGACTAGTTTACAACACAGTTTACAGTTGAGTGGTCAACCAGGTACAGAAAAATTGCCCTCTTTGTTTCTAAACCTTTTAATGTAGCACGGAAGTCTTTTAGGAATTTGATAATAGATAGATGGTGTCTACTCCAATTGTTTTCGAGTTTTCAACAAATTATCTTAGACAATGATTCGAGTTGTTCATGGTTGCTTATAAAGATATCATACAGAATCATATTCATCTCAAAACTATAAGCATAGATATAACAAATTAGAGGTCATGATGTAAAGAGATGAACACAAATTAGAGGACATAATGTAAAGAGATGAACACAAAAGATTTTATGTACAATTACTCTCATATTTACAATTAGTGTTACTTTTGATTACTCCATTCATGTTCAGATAGTAAAAGGCCTGATTGCATATTTTTATCCTTGCCGCTTTGAATCATTTTTATTTATTTAGTTAGTTAGTTATTTGAATTCAGTTGATGATGGAGAGACAACGGATTATGGAGATCCCGCCACAGCAGAGGATGGAGCGGCAGGCCTCTCTGGCCAAAGAACATAGCGAGGAGTACAAGGCAGCATTACAGAGGGCTATGGCGTTGGATGTTCCTCTGGTTTACTCGCCTGGTTCATATGGAACGTTCCATGAAATAGAGGAAGGGGATGATTCAAGCAAATTACAAAAATAATTATCATTCATGTCGCGGGGATGAATTAGTAAGATCAATATAGATGAGCTTAGCAAAATTGCCAGTCATTTTTTCGTTCACATTGGATAGCTTTGCCCCTTTTTTTTTAACCCTCATGATATCAGATATGTATTGTTCGATTATTGATGAATCCACAAAAGGGCAAGTTGATTCAATTGTATCACAATCGGAGTAATTCAGAGAGAACCCTAGTTTTACAATGATGCAAAAATAATTCTTCCAGCTATATGTGCCGCTATTGGTCTATCTAATCAAATTTTGAGACCCGTCACCAATAAGAAAGCAACTTCATATGTTAACAAACTAGATTTTTGAAATTGCATCACAAGTTAAATTTCTTACAACATTCATTGGGTTATGAATTGTAGTCATTATCCAATGTGTAATGATAATAGATGTCATGCCAACCAGAAAACTAACTTGCTTATGAGCTCCGGGTAGTTCAGATATTTGATCAGATAATGTGTAATTCTGAGTTAGCAAACTACAAGAAACTCGGGTCCAGGAAGGTTTGCATGCTTTCCATTTAAAGAGTTGTGTACAGATTGTAAACTAAGAGCATGATTCTTGGGTCAAAAACTCTGCTGTTCTTCAAACTATGAATGCAGATCAAGAATTCTTTCGGGTCAAAAAATTCGTTGTTCTTCAAACTATTACTGCAGATTAAGAACTGCTTCGGTTGCAGGGATGAGGACAATGTATCAAAATCACCATTCTATCTCACCAATTTCACCACAAAAAAAATAAAAATAAAATAAAATAAATGAAATGAAACAACAATATATCACTGCTAAAAAAACAGAAAGCGACCACTGCCACCACAATATGACTGATTGAGAGAATATATGGAACTGCATTCTAAGTAATATTATTGATTCATACCCTACAGCTCACAATTCTCAATTGAGAAATTAATTCCCTTTTTCAAACAAAATTGATTGTTGAAGAATATTAGCAGAGATTAAAAAAAACAATTGAAAAAGGTTTCCAGTGTGTTACCTTGCATTCTCTTAATTTGATGAAAGTTCCAGTGTTTTAGCTTGCATCCTCTTCGTTTGATAAAAAGGTTACCAATGTCCGATTAATTTTTTTTTTTTTGCATGTATGTTATATCTCTGCATTTATTAACGCAGACCTTCCAAAAAAACAAATTAAACTCCAAAACCCACTGTGGCATTGGGTAACATTTATGTTTTTTTATTTATGTTTTAAAAAAATTTGTAAATTGGTTTTTGTTTATTTTTGAAAAAACAAAAGCTACCAACACGTTTAGTTTGAACAAAATGTATGAAAAATTTTAAAAACAAAAACCAAAAGCATGTTTGCTAAATCCTACAACGTTTATATTTCTTTATTTTTATTATTTATAAGTATGGGGATCATACAAACCATAAGATTATAATAAGCATCCATAAAACCACCTTTTTTTTTTATTTTTTATTTTTTAATGGCCTAATGTTAATCAAAAGGGCGATAATGGACCATAAGTAAATATTATTTGACACATATGACTAAGAGCACTCCATTTATAAATTTAAATTTGAAATCTTTTTGTCCAAAAGTCGAGACGTTAAATAAGAGAAATTTTATTTTTATATACGTATTTATCTCAGTACATATTATTTCTCAGTGCATATACTTATGAATTTCATCAAATATTATTTATGTGCTGCTATTAGCACCTCATGAATTATTTTGGACCCTCCAATTTTTAATTTTTTTTATTACAATAATAGCCTCAAATAAAATTACGAAAAAGGACATCATTAATTTTAGAATACCTTATCTTACAATTAAACGTACACACTGCTACATCATGAATTAGGGTTTATGAGAGCACCCACCTCTATCACCACCCATCTATCTTCCCCAAATCTTACCTTCAAAACTTACCCACCCTCAAAACCTTAAAAACCCTTTAGCGGCAATATTTTGACGATAACGGTAGCAACTATTTAATTACCTACACTTCTCCGGCAATGATAATGAGTGAAAGCTTTTTCGACAACCACAACTCCATGAGACGAGAGGAGTACGACAATAAAAGTTTAGAGAAAGTTCATAGTTTTGATGATATTCTTAGCTCAGAGGAGATTGGCCTTGTAAGGGTAAATTTCTTTAAAAAATTGGCAAAAATAATAAATCTGTTCGTCATTTTTTTGGGATTAAACTCCCAAATATATGACTAAAATTCGAAAACACAGGCCTGAATATTGTTTATTTGTTCGAGAATCGGTAACCGAACATTTATTATTTATTATTTTGGACTCTTCTTCTTCTTCTTCTTCTTCTTTTTCGTGGGTTTTGTTAAGGTTTTTGAAAGAGAGGTTTTTTTGGGGTGTGCATTCAATTAAATGGGTGGAATGTTTTCACAAGGATAATTTTTGTATTATTTGGGGGGAGAAAAGAAATTTTAAGGATTTCAAAATTTATAAGTGGGGGTCCAAAGAAATGGAGGGTCCAAAATAATATATGATGTGCTAATAGCACCACTCATATTATTTATCTCATTCCACATATCACATATTCCAATTACCCTTAACTCAAATATTCAATTTGGAGTTTCCAATACCTAGATGGGTTCAATAGTGCCATGGCCTATCTTTTTGTTGATGCATTTTGTTGTTCTTATCTGCTCTGTTCATAGCGAGAATGAGACTGATCAGCTAGCCTTGCTCGCATTCAAGTTTGAAATAACTAGTGATCCATTTGGTGCTCTCAACTCATGGAATGAATCAATCCACTTCTGTCAATGGTTTGGCGTAACATGTGGCCGCTCCAACTAGAGGGTCGTTGTGTTGAACTTGTATCATAAAAAATTAACAAGCTTCATTTTGTCTCATATTGGAAATCTAAGCTTTATAAATGAACTATCATTGGGTAACAATAGTCTCAGTCACAAAATTTCCCTAGAACTTAGCCGTTTGCCAAGATTGCAGAAGTTGTTGGCCTTTCCTAGAAAGCAAAGCTAGCGCGGAAAACTCACTGGAAAATCAAACTAGTGGTTTTACGACGGTGGCGGCAGAAGAGCTGATTATAAGGAAGAAAAGATCATTTGATTGTTGTTAACGATGAACCATTCAAGATCGTCTTCCTCTCTGTTGTTCTCCATTGGATTAAACGAATTGAATTGATTCTAGAGAAAGAGAAAGATAGGAAAAAAACAAAAGGGTTTAAGGGTTTGTGGGTTTGTTTGTTATTTGTGGTGGTAAAGAGAGAAAGAGAGAGAGAGAGAAAAAGAAGAAGAAGAAAAGATAAAATGGGTTGGTTAGGGTTTTCATGTCCATTATGGTCATTTTACTTTAGGATATAATTGTCATTAAAATAAATTTTCATTAAGTGTATATACTGAGGTACGTAGGTGTATGAAAATAGAATTTCCCGTTAAACAAATATGTCTATAAGGACATGCTTGTATAAAATGACCAAACTACCCCCATAAATATATGTACACAGTTCTCCATTTCTTCTCAAAACGAACGTATTCTCTCTCTCATTCTTATCTTCTCTCTCGTCTATCACCACCGCGGAAAACCTCTCCGGCACCACCACCCAACAACAAGGGCTTCCTATGGTGTCGTTCCAACTGTTGTGACGTCATCGAGCCTCTAATCTTTACCAGCCTAACAATGATCATCTCAAACGTATATAGACACGCGTCGTCGTCGGTCGGAAACCTACCATCACTATCGCCGCTTCTTCTTCTCTTCCACTATCTATCTGCAAATCCTAACCCTCAGCTTACTTCTCTAACCTTCTCCTCTGCCGCCACCATGAAACCACGCGATGACAAATAAGAGACCGCGATGAGAGAAAACGAACCAGATCGCAAAGAGTCCACCCTTCAAATATGTGATTCTGGTATGAGATCGTAGTAAATCACCATCTCACAATCGCGCGATAAGATCTAGTTTCATATTTGGTTATGGGTTTGCGACGGCATGAAGTGGGCGGGTTAGCGGCATTGAAATCTACCAAGCCACTATCTGTTCAAATTTTGAACAGATTTATCATTTTTTTAATATGTTGCAATCTGTTTCTTCATCATCATCATCATCAACAACAACAACAACCAAAAAAAATAAACACAAAAAATAATTGAAAAATAACTCTAAAAATATTAAAAAATCAAGAATTTCATAGTACTATGTTCTTCGATGCTTTCCCAAACATCTTCAATGATCAATCGATCTACACAAAACACAAAACACAAAACAAAGCACAAAAAGGATCAATCAAACCCTCGAGAATCAAGATATATATAGATCGATACACATAGATATACAAATATAGAAATTTTATGGAGAAAAAATAAACCAATTATGAGACAAATCTAGCGAATTTAATGTAGTGGTGAAGAGATAAAAAATCAACAAAAAGAATTTTCACAAATAGGAAAATTGGCTTGGAGGATAAACGGATAGAAAAGATCTAATTATTTGATTTCTAGTGGCTTGGAGGAATTGTTTAAAGCAACAATTTTCAACAAATGATATTAATAGATAGGAATTTTGAACATATTTTTGGACAGATAATTTTCACATAAAGGAATTTTGAACATATAGGGTCTGAAAAGGGAAGTGGATAGAGGAACAAATACAGAGAGAAAAGTTTGAAAATAATGTAAATTTGAACAAATAGAAAAAATAAGCTATAAAAATTCAACAGATACAGATAGGCAAAAAAATTGAACATATAGATATAAGTTTGAACAAATGGTCAAAAAAGTCAACAGATAAAAAAATTAACAGATAAATTAAGGAGTAAAATTGAAAACAAAATGTCCTTGAAAACAAATAAAAATATTTATCACCAAACTATTTCACAAAGAGTGGATCTCTTACTAATAAAAAAAATATTCACGGGACCTAATACCTTGTACCTTCTTTATGTTGAACTTTTCAACAATTCTCTCTATAACTAAAGACTTCTTTCGTCATAACCACAATTAGGGACAGATTCAGAATTATCATTATGTGAGTGTGAAGATATGTTTGGGAGTACAAATTCTTATAATTTTTAATTATTTCAAAATTTTAGTGTAATATATGTACTTTTAAAAAATTTAAGGGCATAGTCGTTCTCACCCCCTCCCCTTAAATTCATCATTGACCACAATAACAGCTATAATGAGTCATAAACATTATCACAATGAATTAATACCAAATTATAATTACTATTACAATGAGTCATAACTGGCTATCTGATACACCTTTTTTTGGGTGATGTATTATTGAATTTTATTTAAATTAGTGACTGTTCTAACTTCGTTTTA